TCGTATTCGCTATATCTTTCTTTCTTTCCTATTCTCTATTTTGTCAATTTCCTTTTTTTTTCCTATTATTGCCGCATTTTTTTCTCTCTTTTACCTACACTCCTGTCCCCTCTTCCCTATTTCTGTAGTACCTTCTTCCATGTTATAAAAGATGAAAAAAATGCATTAATGAAGAATTAACTCTATAGGAGATTTATAAATGCAATATGGAAAAGAAACAGCGGAAATAGAGCCAAATGAATGCCAAGGTTTTTTTTCGTTTTGAAGGAAAAGAAAAGAAAGTGCAAAAATAATTTGTGGAATCATGTTTAGTTTTCTTAGATTTTCTTCTTTCTAAAAAAAGTCTATTTAATTGATTTCTATCATTTTACATTATAATTAGTTGCTTTCTCTTCTATTATTAAGTAGGTTTTCGTTAAAATAAACTTCTTAATGTAACTGTTGGCACTTTATAAATAGTATAATATAAGATGTATACATATATAGCTATATAATTTAAACAACATACAAGAAGATAATATATAGAAATACATATAGAATATAAAAAAAATGAAGTAGCTTACTTAAATTCTCAACTTTTTGATGAGTACTCTCATAATCAAAGAAAAAGTAAACACCATTAAACTATCTAAAGCTTTTCAGTAAGCATAGATCAGCGTCATATAGTCTAAACATATAAATATAAAATATAATCTTTTTTGTTAATTATCAGGTATCTTCCCTTAGACTGATTAAGAGATCGTCTATCGAATTGATTTTTCTTTTTTATTATACTTTTTATCACCAGTTCTCTTATTACGTTTTCTTATGACTACGAATATGGTTTATCTCCCAGGGAATAATTTTACGTATCTGATGAGCGAAATATAATAAAAAATTAGCTATTTTCCTTTTTTTAAAGTGAGATTGACATTAAAAAGAAAAGTTTCTTTCTTAAATCTTTGGCGGATAAAGTGCTATTCGTTGACAAGATATATTAGCCACAGCAAAAAAAGATATCTTAAAAATCAGTGGAAGCGTCTAAGAGTTTTTTTTCACTGTTATATATATTATCGACCATTTTCAATCCGTCTAATCACTAACTTTGCCAGTTGAGACGTTTCCTTTTTTTTCATTAAGTATAAATTGTATGATACGAATCGACGAGCAGTCTTGAAACAGAATCGGTCGTTTAATTCTGGCAAGCGAACAGCAACGACTTTTTCTTCTCTGCTAAACATTGCAAAGTGCCTCGGAGAACAATCTTACGAGGATAAAATTTCGCATTCGATTCCAGTTAGAGGGCGAGAATCGGCCATTTGCCATTTATTTACAGTTTTTATTTATCATTATAACAATCTCTACAATTGGCAAACTTATTTAAATTAATCGAAAAAGAAGTATTGTTTAATGAAAAATGATCTAATTATGTTGATACTTTCCGCTGGAATTAAGGACAATTTTGATCTGTCAGAAGTATAGCCCCCAGTTCCTTTTGGAACATCTTACTTCAATATTTTATATATTTTGTTGTCCTACTTCCTACTTAAAACTTTTTCCTAGTGTATGAAATCATCGATCATTTTGAGATCTACGCAAAACTTGCATGCATATATTCTAGTTTTCCCTTAAACTCAGTTAAAGTTGATTTAGACAGAAATTATTTGATAAACATAACTTTCTTATCCCCCTGGCAAATTCACAAATACTAGTCTTCAAAACGGAATTAACCTAGATACAGGCAAACTGAATAAAGATAAAGAGTTTTTAAGTTTTTATGGTCTAGAGAATATGAAACTAGAAATTTTCTTTTAGAATTGTTCTTATTAAATATGAAATTTTTATGAAAGAATGAGCAAATGTTCAAATTGGTATAAGCAACCAAGAAGAAAATTTACATGAAAGAGAATCCTCAAGGGTACAGAGAATACGGGAAAGAGAAGAGAGGAAAGTGAAGAAGAAGATGGAGGAGAAAGTTTGGAATCTTATCTTCTCTATATCCTCCTTCTTATATTGATTAAAAGAAAAATCAACTTTAGAATACAATATTTATTACATAGACTAATGTCTTATTTTCCCCCTTTTCTCAAACAGACCGAAAAATTCGACTTTTCTTGTTTGATTGCCTCATTTATAGACGACAAACTAACTATGTAAAGATTTTTGTTACACGCCCAAGTGACATAGTGTACGTGAAGTTTGTACTAAAAAAGATGATTAATCCTGAAGATTAAAGGTTAAGTCAAAGAGTGCAAATTAAAAAAGAATCATTATTTTATTTTAAATATTCATCTCCAATTAGTTGTATCCTTTATACTTTCAAACAACAAAACAATTAACATTGCACTTAACATTCAACAAATACTTATGGGCAATTGGACTTTTTTTTTGGACAAAATTAATTTCAATAATAAAACAGGGAATTCAACAAATCCATAGTCAAGGAAGTTCAGTAACCTAAGGGCTGAAGCCTTGATTAACAAGTGTGACTGATATGAAAATTTTCCTTTTCTTTGATCTGAAGAAAATTTTTCGTTTTCTCTTCCTTTATTTTTATAAAAAAAACCTAAACTAAGAAGTAATGCATGTATAAATGTAATTTACTCGTATTACAGGTATTAAAGTAGATCATGAGTAGTATTTAAAGAAAGAAAGAGAGAAAAAGGTTTACCTCTTTCTAAAAGGATTTATCAAGTTCTAACTTTATTACAAACTAAATTAGCTTTAAGCATGATCTAGTGCTAATTTATAATAATTCTAGTACACATAAAGAGAATATATGATTGTATTTACCATATATCCTTTTATTGTCTTTATGTGTACATATTTATTATTAATTAGCTCAAATAGTACATCTCTCTTCGCTGTATTCTTGAGATGATTTTTCTTTTTTTTCACCTTTTAAAATAAAAAATTAAATAGGCTAAAATCTTTTTATAATCTACACCTTTAAATTGTTAAAAAGAATTATACTTAATATGGCTAGTAAAATTAACAAAAGACAGTTCCTTTTCCGATTATCTTCTAACCAGAACTTTCTGTTTATCGATATACCCTTTCTCTTTAAAACGACATCTATCGGCGGACGATTTTGAAGACTAATCGATATCTGACGGACTCCAATTTATTTATTCATTCTGCCGGCCGTAACGACTATTCTATTTATTCATGAGCGCTAAAAGGCTAAAAAATTTTACGCGTTACAGTCTCAGACAAACGAACCAGTTTGTTGTTGTTTATACAAGCAACAAGCTAGCTCTTTCCGCAGCTGGTCTAGTTACCATAGTGACAATTAGCCAGCGTAATAAAAACTCGGAAAAATGCACATCGAAAAGATCATCTGTCATAGCTCATCGCCTTGCCTCAATTTCCATTTGTTTCATCTGCTTAGTTTCTACTAGCAGTTCAATTCTAGATTTATTTATATATATCTATAGAAATATATATAAATATAGAAATATAGAAATATACTGTATATATATATATAAAAAGAGAGAGAGAGAGAGAGAGAGGAAAAGAGAGTGAGAGAGAAAGAAAGAGAAGAGGAGGAGAGATTTTACTTCAAATGACCCGCTTTCCATTTTAGTAAAATATAAGAATTTTCTATTAAAAATAGTTTTTACCTATATCATTTTAACATAACTACAAATCAAGTACATTTTTCTTGTCTGCGATTTATGCGCAACACAAGTCGAGGCGCATAAATTTACATATATTAACCTTTCTCCCGATTATTGGTAAACTGTAGGAAAGAAACGAGCCTAAATATATATACTTTTTTTTATTTAGCGCCTGCTTTGCTCTTTTTTTACGTAGCCTTCTAATAAAGGCTTTAGAAAAGGGGAATTGTTAGGAAAGGAGAGACCCTAATTTGTTTTGTTAAACTTTTATTCTCCACTTGGAACCAATCGACCAGAGGAGTTTATTGCAAAGAGAAAAGGAAAAATATTCATCATTATCATTCACCCTTACATGTATATTTTAATGGATCACAGCATTTTGTATTTCTAACTATCTGCAGGTTGACTAAAGGTCAATCTATCTTTCCTCCCCTCTAAGGAAAATAGTACGGTACCCTTACTGTGATATATAAGAAGACGATAGTTTGCAACGAGTTACAAATAGAAATCAAGCTAGGTCGTTAATGTCGCTAGTCCGATCGGCTACCGCTTTTACCGCTTAATCTTGCATTTGGTTGATGAAAGACGTAGCTTTGACTAAAGAGATGAGGGAGGTGAAGATTTAGGGTTATAAGAAGGGGGAAATAGGCAGTTTGCTACAATTTATTCAGCTAAAGATCTTTGTTTTCTTTTTTGTATTTCCGATAAATATTTTTATACTAACGACTTTGTTAACCTGTAAACAAACGTTCTTTGTAAACTTTTATCTGAGAGCCCGTAAGTACCCTGCCGTCTATCCCTTTTCTATTTTGTATATATATATATATACATACAGGATAAACTCAAAAAATATGTATTATCAATAATCATTTTTCATTTATATATTCTTTTATTTATTTCTTATAAGTTACGAAGGAGATTTTTACCGTCAATCTTTTGATCATGTTTTCTATCTTCTACTCTCTTTCTAATATTCCATCTTCTTTATTTTTTAATAAAAGAATTTCTATTTAACCCTTTTCTTTTTTTATAAAGTGAAAAGAAATAAGAAATGTTTACTAGGTATAGATCTAAATATTTCTATTGGTTTCCGTTTCCAAATACACTTCTTCCTATCCTCTTTCTCACTCTCTTTTTAAAAAAAGGGAATGTTTGTTCGTTTTAGATAAATTCTTTTCTTTTACTTGAAATAATTTCTCTCTTTTTTTTATTCATGTCAATTAAAATCTTTCCTAAGAAATTTAATAGAAAATAAGATAGAAAGAAATAAGAATTTACGTTTTTAAACTGTTCGAAAAGAAATATAAATAAATAAATATATATATTAATATATATATATATATACCTTTATATATATACTGTATATATATATATAATAAAATATGAATAAATAAATTGTAATGCTTGCATAGAATTAGAGAAGTTTTTAAGAAAAAAAATAATAAAAGCAAAGGTTTTTTTGTTTCTTTTATAAATTGTGTTCTTAACTTGTTTTCATAATTGACAACAAACATTACTGAATGCTATATATGCCGTATGAACAATATATACAACTTTTTTTTCTGCAAGACAATATCGCGAATAGTATGCCAACTGATCTATGTATACTATTGTATACAATTTTCACTGGCATAAACAGTTAGCGGAGACAATACATTGAAACGTGTAAGGCATAACTCATCTGCATAAATTTGCATTGAAATTGAGCGAGGCTTAATCTTTTTTCCAGTTATTATTATTATTATAATAATAAATATTATTATTATATCAATTTTTTAAATAGCATGAACTAACATCGTACTGTGTCGTCTGGATTGCGGATGAAGGTCTTTGATCTTCTCTTGCCAAGCTTTCTTTTTTGCCAGAAATTCCTGAAGCGAAAAAAATTCATTAGTAAGTCGCAATATTCGCATTAGTCACCTTGTAAAAAACCAAATAAAAGGCTTAGAATATAAGGGAAAATATTATATAACCTTTATAACCCTCTTAAAGCACTTACTTACAAAAGTAGGCTTATAACAAGTTTTTTAATAGTTGCTAACAATTTTTAATGTTTGCCCATTGTCTATGCTCTTTAAACGATATGTATATAAATATATACAGTATATTATTTTAAAAATAAGAATCAACACGAATCTCGCTTTTATCTAATACATCTAAAACTCTAACTAAATATTATTATTAAAAGTTATTCACATCAACAGTCGGACTAGGAATTATTTAACCATAGTCCTTTTTAGTTTGTAGTTAATATATGGATATACGAAAATTTCCTGTACCTTTTTAGACATAAATTAAGAGTGTTAAAATAAAAAGAAAGGTCGTGACATGTAAAGGAGAAGGAAATATCTCATTCCCAGAATTCTATGTACTATATTATTGTTATTAATAATTTGTAATGGAACTCTTATTTTACTCGATAACTTTTTAGTTATTTTAACATTTTTACTCTATTTTCTCCAAGTATTGCCACTAGAAAATTGCATAGAAGAGTGATCACATTTAATGAGTACATGAAGATCATTTTTAAAATTTAATCATAAACAAGGAATAGTAGTCTAATGAAAAATCGTGATCACAATTTAATCATGTCGATATACACTATAGTAAAAATAATAATAAAAGAAAAAACTGGAAAAAAAAACACTACCCCATAGCCAATAAAATAAATAGTTAAGTTTTAGAAGTAACAAGAGATATATAAATGAATATCATATATATTCAATTAAGTATAAAAGGAAAAATTATTCTGAAACTTCTTAAGGTAAGAAATATTTGTCCTAAAATGTGGATAAATCAAGATTTAGTGATTAACGATTTAGGGCATTTGGCGGTTTGATACCTTCCAAAAAAAACCAGCTGTTACAGGTCTCTAGTTCTAACTCATATAAACTTCATCTTTTGGCTAAAATTAGCCTACGTTATTGAAGTGAGAGAGCGAGAGAGCGAGAGAGAGAGAGAGAGCGAAAGAAAGAAAAGAGATAGACTGAGGGATGGAGAGAAGAAAACTAAGGAAAAATCTCATCGCTAAATTTTAGGTTTTGTATAAATTATTTCTATAAAAATATATTCTATATATGAAGGGGAAAATGCTAATTATTACTCCTAATATTTAACTACTTTTAAATCAATATAAAAATATTATATGCTAATTTTACAAATGATTACTAAAAACGTGATGAAAATTTTACTTTTAAAAACGCGGAAATTAACTTGAAACTAACATGTAAAAAGCATAATGCTTAGTAAAGTATTTAAATTACTTGTTGAATTAAGCCTACACTAAAAACAATATACAAATATTAAGAACTCTTACAATATTAGTGAGAAATGTAATTGCCTTTTTTTTTAAAGAAAATCAAATATAAATAAACCTTTCTTTTTTTTTAACGAAAAAAAATTCTTTTTATCAAGTATTGCATAACGTACTGCAAACACTTAGGCCTATTTGCACAGGAGGAGAAACATAACAAGTAGCTTCGTTAAAAGAATTTTGGTAATTGTATTTTTTATAGGAGTTATAAAGGTTAGATATTTCTCCTTTTCTTCTGTTGGAAACCTTTAGAAGAAGATTTATCAAATTCCACTTACTGATGTGTAATATGAACAATAGCAAGTGTAAAAAGAGTATACACGAGTTATACACATGTATATATAAATATATATATATATATATATACAGTATATATCTGTTACTATGAATACCCTTTTACAGATATGATAAAATATTTAGAAAGAAGCTATCACAATTTTGATGCTATTAGTGCTATACAACAGCAATAAATCATACTTTTTGCTAGGAGTACGTATATTTTACCTATTAATTTTTAATCAATAAAATATTCAATTATCAAAAGAAACCTAATCGTTAATCATACATAAATACAAATCTAATAATTGCATTTGCATAAAAACGGTTAAATGCTTCTGATTACACTCTTTCAACTGACAGTTTCGTCTATTCAGCTATCGAAATAGCTAGATCTTTTCTCTTTTTCCTCACTATATGCTTATTTAATAATTATAAAAACATTAATTTATCATGAAAAGAAAACAAAATAAGAGAATAAAGTATAATTTGGAAGCAAATTATTTACTAAATTTCCTTATCATGTCAAAATTTTGACATTATCATGTCGCTTCATTTTGTAAATCACTTATTCACTCAATCTCTTTTTATTTATTATTATTACATTTTTACTTTTTTCGACTCTCTTCCATTCTATTTTCAGTTTTTCCTTCCACTCTCTCCTACCACACACACACACACACACACACACACACACACATACACACTCTCCCTCTCTCTGTCTGTCTTTGTTTATTCTTCATTTCATCATCTTATAAATAATGTTTTTTTTTTTAATTTTATCTTTTAATATTCGTCTTACTAAACAAGAGACAGGAGATGAAAAGAAAGCGGTTTAAGTAAAGACTACAAAGTGTAGCTAACCGAATTTACGGTTGCATAATAGTTCTATTTACCAGTTAAGCGTCTAATTTGGTCGTTTTGAGAATTCAAATATGCTTTACACTACTTTGAAGTTAACTTTTGGATTAGATTGAAAAAAAAAATGTCGCGCAATCTAATTAAACTTTTAATTTCATTAGTAATTTCCTGAAATTTTCAATTTAGAGAAACACGAAAGCAAAATAGAGATGGAGATAGATAGTTAGATAGATAGATAGAAAAAGAGACTAGGACTGATGTACAATTAGTTCAAATATATCCAGGCATGTAGAAAAAAAAACAATAATTAAAATCTTATAAATGACTATTACAATCATTTGTAGCCCCAGTATATTTAATTAATACAATTTATAACTATTATAACAAATGAGATGCAATTATTCCGTTACATCTTTAAAAAATTGGCAATAAAAATATCGCAGAAAATATATAGAGAATTAATCATATTTGAAAGTCGATTTTAAATATCCTAATTATTTAGAGTTGCATGTTTCTAAACAACACTTGTGCATCATATTATCAATTTATGTGAACTAAGCACGTTGTGTCCTTTAACCGTGTGGCAGTGCTTCTCTTTTGTTTTTAAGAGATAAAATACTACGAAACTAAACTCACTAAACATTCCTAATTATTCAGGGAGAGATGAGTCAAGTGAACGGGAAAGTAAATAAGTTTTAGTAGGGAGCTTATTAACATTTAAAAAAGGAAAAGGAAAGACGATAAGCCAATTAAAGGGAATAATACATGTGTTAATGTATGTACGAAAAAACTTACTAAATATTCCCTATCTTTTCTCTTCATTATCCTCCTTCTCTTACAAGCATCAAAATATAACCAGAATACAAAAACGACGTGACAGAGAATATAAATAACTGCAAACGCGAGGAAAACATCCCTTTCCATTCTAGCTAGAAATTCAGAACCATGGTGGAAGAAGACAGTTATCAGGGCGTGCCATATGCAGACGACGCAAAGAATGACTAGAGACAAGAGCACGTACTTATCCATGTAAGTTAAATAAGAGATTTTCGGAAGACTCTGGTTGATGACAAACTTGAAGGCGACGGACGTGAGGAGAAGAGTAAAAGATAATTGGAGACGGTTTTGCGGCAATTCCGGGCTGACAGCGAAAGTAGCGAAGGACAAGGCGCTAATAAAAAACATGACGAGGAAGACGTTCCAATAGAAATACCCAGGACGCCTAGCTGCTCTACATGTAACGCTTAGAGCAGGATGACATCGATTTGATGATGAATATTCTTGTGTCATTATTTTCTTAGCTACCTGAAAATAGGAGGAGATTTTAATGCACATCAATACAAATCTATCATCCATTTGTTTTCCCTATGCAAATGGTTTTATTTTTTAAACTTAATACATGGAAATTTTATGTCTAAATTGAGATAATATCGATTTAACCTTTCCTCATGGTTACTGGTTAATACATTGGCCAGATAAAACAACTATTTAGTTAAAGGGCTATGAAATAGAGATTAAAATTAAGGTTATAAATATTTTTTTTTCGTGTATACTACTAATGTCATATTCTTAGATATTTAAAAGTTTGTCTTTCATCCTACTAATTATCATTCTTTTTTTACTATAAGTGTTGTGTCCTTAAGAAGATCTCGCTCTCTCTCTCTTTTAATAATTTACATCTTTCCTTAACTAAAAGTCATTACTTAGTTCAAGATTTTAAAGTATGCAAAAAGTCTAAAAAAAAACCAAACTCAATTATTCCCTTTATCTTATAAGTATATTCTTTTTATGGTGGTTTGCACTTTTATCGTTTAAGAATTGTTTTGATTTTCCTTTTCAATAGATCTTTTTTTCGGGTGTCTAAATCTTTTCATGGCCAAAGCAAAGGTTCTTAGGAAAATCAATTGGAAATTGAAGAATATAAGTTCCTCTTTCCCTTTGAAAAACGTTACAATAGTGTGAGGAGCAAAAAAAATGGCGATCAACAGCATAGACAGTCTTAAGTGACGTCCAGTAACGCCTAACGATGCTATTAGATACTCAGTGACGCCTCTAAGCGCTGCTGTCGCCTAAGGAGACAGGGAGCCATTTTGTGTGACTGTAAGGAGCATCTGTAAAGAATTACTCTAATTTTGGAGCAAATTTAAAAAATGGACTTCTTATTGAGTGGTCAGAGGGAGTGAAAACTAGAGAGAAAACCTCTGAGATGATCATAACGATTAGACTTTAAAGATTGTTATAGTATTTCAGTTAGACAAACATTTAGTGGATTTCGCAGGACTCTTAATGGTTCCCTTGCACGAAATTGTTTCTATTGTATTCATTGTAGTGATTGCAAACTGGTTTTCTTTTTCTTCATAAAATATATTGTTGAATGTAGCATGGTCTACAAACAAAGATTTCCCTTTGAATAGCTCTATGAGACACTCCCTTACCGTTGACAAGAACGTCTATTGGCGGTTCTATTATTGTCTCATCTCTATTAATTCTATTTCAAGATCTGATCATCGTTACCCGGGTAACAGAGCCCATTTACCTCAATATGTTCGTGCAGTCTCCATTCCTGCTGATCGACGAATGTCTGTACATTGATACCGCTCATCTCTAGCTCATCCGGTATAATATCGATTTCCGTATCCGGTCGTTCGCTCGTCATCGTGATAGTCAAGTCCTGCACATCTAGCGGGAAATCGTTCAACTCGAGATTTTCTAGAAACACGCCCCTAACTCGCCGCCTTTCCAATATAAAGGCTTCCCCCTTGCTATTTGTTGTCGCTGTTAACCATGTAGCCTCCTTTGTTTCACTAAGTACGTTATCGATGTATAGGAGGGGATTCCATAATTTATCTAATTCAATTCGCTTTAATTCATCAACAGATTTTCCATCCAAAGCCGGCTCTCTCCATCGAGCCTGGATGAAGGTATCGGCTGAATATTGTTCTTTTAAGGTATCGATTTCTCCAATCTTCAGGAAGACGACACGAAGTTCGACAAGAACCTGCATTTAGAAAATTTTTCAATAAATTATATCATACTGTTGTCCGCTGCTCGAGAGAAAAGTAACACTGATAAAACCAAAACATCCACACTATCACATAGCGATATATTTTTTCTCTAGAAAAGAAAATTCGGCTAACTTTAGTTAAATTACGTTTGCGCGCATGAAAGAAGATCGGCTTTCTAAGCGTGTAAATCGCGTTTCGTTCCGTTGTAGAACTCTATTAGGGTAGAAAATGAACGAAACATTCTTCAATAAGGAAGAAACCATTTTCTCCATATTTTTTTATTTTACCGTTTTGTTAAAAAGTGTTAACAGCTGAAAAAACGAATAAAAAGAGATGGAACTAATAAATTGTATGAATTTTTATCACTATTACGAATGTATAAAGATCGGACTATTAGAAGTCAGAGCTGGAGGATAGGTGCCTTATATCCTCCATAAAGACCTTAAAATTGGACAAAAATTCTATACGTTTAAATGACATATATAAATATATACGTTACTATTTGTTAGTACTACTCATAGGAAAATGATTATAGATATCTTAAATAAGAATTATTTGAGGGCTTCCCACTCGAAAGAATAACATAGTTAAGAGGGTAACAGGTAGCTTTATTTTAATTATTACTCAACCAAATATACACAGCACGGTACCAACGGTAAATTGTGTATAAATACAAACGCGTTAGAAGCGGATGGGTTTGACCTATTGTCCTATTTCAACAAGAACAGCTCAAGTTGTACTATAATTTAAAAAGGAGAAGTCCATAGGAGAGAAGGAAGAAAGAAATAGATTAATATCTTATGAAAAAATGCCGAAAGATGTTATTTTGACTCTTCAAACTTTTCTTCTCTTCTTTTCATGCTTTCCTATTTATTTAATAAAAGGAGAAAGAGAGTAAAGAGGAGAGAGACCGTAGATTATTTAACTTCCTTAGCGCCTCTTATTGAGCAGATCAATTGTAAACACCATGGACTTGATTATATAGACGTAAAGTTAATTCCTACTACTTACTTATATCGCGTGACTTGCTCATGAGCCAGAAAATAGGCTAAGTGACTGCCGAAGGGAGCGGCCAAAAAAATTTGAATGTCTGGAAATTGGTTATTTTACCAGCGATAAGCCAGGGTTAAAATATCGGCTTTTGTTTGTTTAGAATACTTGACGACTAGGTCGGACATAAATAAACAAATATGTAAGGCTGAGGTGAAAGTAAACTAACTTTTTCCTTTCGGATTCTTAGTCGTTCATCCCTGAGTACATCGGCTCTTGTCTGGCGTCTTCTCGTCCTATGAGCAGCGGCTGCATTTTCTACAAGAGTCTCTCGAAGTAGTTCAATCGCTTCCGTCAAACGGTCCGCCGGATCTAAATCGATTCTTACTTCCGGCACAAGACTATTTCTACTCGAAACTCCTCCTCCGGAACTCTCTTCTTCCCCTGAGGAATATTATTAGGCGTATAATTTTACAAACACATGAAATATTCACTTAACTACACAATAGGAAACTATACATCACACTTTGTAAAGTTTCTCTTTTAATTATAGATATAATTCGCTTAGCTAGGGGTTAGGTGGGCTGTAAATTTGCACACGGCAGAGCAGTCGCTTAATTTACTTCTTTTCATCTATCGTACTTATTATCAACTTTCTATTTCTATTAAAATTTTCTTCACTGCCAACCTTTACAGCCTTTCATCTTTTCTTCTCTTTCTAAGTTACTCTTTCTCTTGTAATTCAAATCTAGTAATGTCACAGTGAATTAAGAAGGAATGTTCTATGAGAATGTCAAAATTTAACTAATACCAATATCCTTCAAACTCTAAATTCAATTATGACTTATAATTGAACTTTTGCAACAATAATTTTATTTAGTTCGACAAACTTTAGACGTTTTGAAAAGATTCTCTAAAAAAGATTTTTTCTGTCTCAAATGAAAATCGTAAAAGTCTACATTATCTGAAATATATCCTATACTTTTCAAGTATTTACCTAAAAGCAGGTATATTGTTAAACACATAGCTAGCTCAAAGAGTGCACATTAATATGTGATTAATGAATACATTTTTAATGTAATAGTCTTCTTCTTTCATCCTATAAAGATTTGTGCCATTTTGATTTTCTATAAACTTTCTCTAATTTATATTAATTATTACGGAAATGGCTTTTGCTCTTAATTATAATTATTACTTCGTAATATTTTCCAAGTGTTTCAAACAAATAAGCTTCTTTTTTTTCTGTTTTCTTTTTCTTAGGCCTATATACGAAAAATTCCCTCTCTTTGTGTCTTTCTTTCTCTCCGTCCCTGACTATCTGTCTGTCTGTCTGTCTGTTTCTCTCTCCCTCTCTTTCTATCTCCCCTACTCTCCATTTTCTTTACAAATATATAGAAAGCAGCTTGAAAATAAAAAGAATTTTTATGACATGTAAACAGTGCGTCACCTTTAAGTCTACGTATAAAAGTAAATAATGTAGAATTTAATTTAGCACCTAAAATATCGACAACAAAACAAAGAGAGATTTACCGAAAGTTGATATTCGTTAAATGTAATTAAGAGATATATTGAAGAGTATGAATTAATAGATAATTGTAATCCATACTATACTAATCGCTATATATATAATATATATAATATATATTCCCTATAACTATTCGGACATTCTACTTCGAAACTGTAACATAGATGTAATAATATCTTTCCTTTATTGTATCTTTATTTGATTGTTATTCGTTTAGAATATAGAATAAAGTTTAACACTGATATTTTCATGTATGCATCGTAATTAACTTATATATTAACCTTTTATCCAACATTCTATTCCATCTCTCTTTGTTTTATAGTCTAGTTATATTTTTCTAAATACAGAACTCATCATTTCAGTTTCTTTTTTCGATTTTAGATTGGAAAGGAAAGAAATACTTATGATTTTATCTTAGGAGAATTACATGTACAATACATTAACTATACAAATTAAATGCACAAATTCTATTCTATTAAGGTAAAAGAACTGCAAAAAGAGAAAGAAGAGAGAGCGAGAGAAGATTTATTTTTCTAGATGCTGCTAAGTAACTTTATATTAAATTTATTGTGTAATTATATATATATATATATATATATATACAGTATATACATAAATAAGTTTATCCTTATATATGTTTTATAATTAAAAGAATAATTATCTAAAGATACAGTCTATATATCTATATATCTATTCATTTACAGAAAAATAATTCATCTTAGCAAAAGGGAATAAATACCACGCCAGATTTCTTTTAATAATTTATAAAGATGTTTAAAAGGAATGACTTTCTCTATTATTATTACCAAATCATCCATTCAATTAACAAGAAGAAATGATTAAAAGAAAAGGAATGAATATAATTTAATACTTAATATCTAATTTAAAAAGAAAAAAATAAGCTAATAATCTTTTAGCTAGTTGAATATTATCTTTTTTTTTCTGTCGTTCATTTTACTCAATCTAGAAACTGTCTACATTTATAAAGCTATAGAACATCAATCATTAGACATTAAATTGCTTTTATTTATCCTATGTAATTACATTTTTTTTAAGTAAAACAGAAAAAACTTCCAAGATATTTCTTCGTTATTATTGTTTTTGTGTTTATCCGTATTTTGTTTTATAATATTTATAATATTCTATAGCTAAAAGCTTTTCTTTGAATACTTTAAACCTTAGCATTCAAACAAATATATTACACTGAATGATAATGTCTCTCATTTAAACATTTATAAAAGCATTCTTTCACATAATAATTTCTTTATTAACGAATAAAAGTTGTGTTTTTTTTCTCACCAATTTCATTCTAATCTCTTGTAATTCTCTTTTTTTATATATATAATACCTTATTATATATGCATGCATAGATATTAAACATTTTTTTGTTATAGATAAATTAATATAAAGTACTATTTTATTAAATTTGCAAATGGGAATGGATATGCTTTGGAACTCTATTAAAATAGTTAATTATTTACTTATAAAAAAAAATGTTAATTTATCATTTTAACTTGATAACTTCACTCTCATCAGACCGTAAATGCTCTAAATTTTTTTTCTTCCATTCATTTTCATTTCTTACTTTCTAATAGTTTCTATACAGATCTGTTTTTTTTGTCTTAGTTTCCTATCGAATGACAGTGGAGAAGAAGAAAATATTTAAATATACTTTCTCAACACCAACTTTTCATGCAATTATATGTATTAGCTTTGTCATTACTAATCTTTTACTAAGGACATGAGTGAAATTCTGTACTTAATAATTTCATAAATTTCCTCCATAGGCCTACAAATATAATCACTTGGTAAATCGTTTTGCAGGATAACACTATAGGCCTGAAAAACAGTTCTATAAATAAAACTTTGGCTGACAGGTTTCAGCTCTTTAACGAACATAATCACGTTGACAGCCTGCCTAACCCCGGGGAGCTTCAAGACTTTTACCTCTTTCCAACCGCAACAAGGCGTCCTCGTCTTCTTCCCTGCAGTCCGTTCCATATTCCTATAAAATAAAAGGGTAAATTTAAAGAGTAAGTAAACTACTTAGCAATGTAAAGGTCAATAAATTAATTTTTCAAAAAAAATTATTTCTATTTAATGTGAACTTCTTAAAACAAATTGGAAAGAAATTTATATTTTTATTAAAGTCGTCAACTCTCTATTCTCCCGGAGACAAAACTAGGCCATGACTAACCCAGTCATTATTCGGTAAAAGAGAAAATGCATTAGAACTTATAAGAATTTTAGTAAACAAGATCTTTGCAAACTCTGTCAATTATTTATAATTTTTTATACTGTTCCTCTAAAATTTTCATTATCCTTGAATACTAATCTACATTATTTTCGTATTAATTGTAATAATAAAATTAAGATTAAAGTAGAGAGGAGAAAAAATAGGCTAAATTTTATTTCTCCTCCTTGTTTGCTATTTGTTTTTAATTTTTCTTTGTAAAGCAGAAATTTTTAATTTACATTTTCCCTAAACTTAAAGAGTTTTCTCTCGGTTCTTTTAACCTAATAACCGGGCCGCTCTCGACCCTTCAATTAACTACTTCTCTTCAATTTACTTAGGCTTAGGAAAGTCATTATAAAAGTATCAAATAAGAATTTTAGATACTCATTCTTTCTCCTCAAATTTTTGCCCTAATAATCAGACTGTGCTCAAAGAATCTACTAGAAAATTCCTTCATATTAGTCTATTTAAAAAAAGGAATTACATTCTTTCAAACATAGGCCTGACAAACTATATCAATTGGAATTCTTTATTTTGTATCACTTCATCACTTTTCTTTTATTTTCCCCTTTTCATTGTCAACTCTATTTTTTGAATGAAAACAATTAGGAAAAACTTTAGGTAAAAGAAATAGAGACCTTGATATGAAAGAACGAAAAAAATTGTTCTAAAAATCCTTGCGCTAGTTTCTTTATATAAATCTAGTACCAAAATAGAATAGGTAGAAAGAAGAAAATCTACCGTCAAATTGGAGATACAACAGTCGTTCTTCGAGCCTGAACTCACCGAATCTAATGATCTTGCTCGCCTCGTTGATGACGATCTCATCCTGTGGCCGTATTGGCCTCCCATAGGCGTTGAATATTTATCCAATCGCACTTTTCCAGCAGACGCTGTAGCCGTCGTATTTTCAGTTGCGCCGAATAGCGCCGTTGTACGTCCGCTCACATTCATAATCCTAGATGTGTGTAATTTTTCTTCCTTTTATAGGGAAGCTTCTTTAAAAGCGTCGCTGGACGTCTCCGGCGAAACGACGCCCGACGTTCGTCGTCGACCGCACGCTGAGCGAAAGACCGGCAATATACAGATAGGAGACGGTTAGAGTGATGTCAGCGACACCTACATCCTATAGAGGGCGCTATACAGTGGGACATTCGTGATTATTTTGTCCGATATGATCCCATTTGTCATCAATCATTTGTCTTCGAACGACCATATCGTAATGACTGTTGTGCTAAGCCCGTATATAGAAATCATTACTAGTGCGTTAAATCACGTGACGCAAGATATATGCATTTCGGTTAATTAAATGCCATCAAAGGAACATTATCCTTCACCATCTCATCATGTGACTAAATGATAATTAGAGATATTTAGTGGTACATAGACCATTCGTGCAGTTAACAGTCGTCAAAAGATTATCGTGTCACGAAATTATTATAAAAATCCATCTATACTATTTATCATTGATCGCTTTCTTCCTTCATTTAAGAGATAACAAAAACAAACGGTTTCATTTCAATCTTTAAGCGAACGTCTGATGATACAGCAAAAAAAAAAAAAGAAATAAACAACTATATTAGCAACGTTATTTATTCATTCAATAGCTAATATATAAATTTCAGAATAGGAAAACCTCCTATATTTACCACTTTTCCCTGCCGTTCCTTTCATAAAGCTGTAACTACAAAAGGTTTCTTAACTTCCCCTGATATTGAGAGGCATCTTGTGGACACTTTTTCTGTTGTATATAAAGAAGTCTAGTGATAGAATCCTAGGAAGGTTTAGGCATATTAAGAGGTATACTAGCAGCCTAAGTCTTAACTAGAGAACGACGCGCCGGAGGCAACACGTCGGGTGAACCTGGATAAATAAGGCCTAGATGCTGATTTCTTTTAACACGTGTTTAGACTCTAATCAACTTAAATATTACTTTTATTTTTTCTTTATTTTAGTGCATTGTTATAAATTTTCTTAATCAGATATTCTATCACTATCTTTAAAAAAAGCTTTGTAAATATATTTCATCATACAAAATTTGTTTCCACTCCGTTTACTTAATCAATTAGTGTGTTTCTTAATATAGGCCTTGAGAATATAAGTAAAGAGTGCAAAAATTGCGTAAAAAATACTAATTAGCCAAAAATCACGGAAGATGAAAAAAAAAGGTAAATAAGATTTGGGAAAATGAGGTATTTTCTTCTGATTGTATGCAAAAAGAGAGACTGGGCCGAGGGGAGAGTAAGGGAGAAGAAAATATGCAATAATTTATCAATAAAAGAAGTTTAGAGGCAAAAATATCGGTCTTTTACAGTCTGATATGCACTTCTTCGGGTGTTAAGTCCTCAAAATATACTAAATTTTATCATTTAATCGATTAGTTACAAGAGATTAATAGTTTCCTTGGTTATAAGCACAAAGTCCAACAGATAGAGATAATATGTCGTGTCGTAAAAGAATACCATAGACAGTTTGAAGGCTGCTCTCTTATTGTTAAGTTGGCGACCAGAGACAGTTTGATAAATAGAGAACAATATGGAGAATAATCCACAGAATATTACAACTGTAAAAGTCTCTTCAGCGAATTCTCAAGATAATCTTACAGTTGACGGAAAGGTTAATGAAACAAAATTTGGTATTGAAAATCCAGCCTTTAATGATAGATTGGACCATCAAAATGATGTTAAAGAAGAAACAGTCATTGGTTTCAATGAGCCAAAGTCTATGGAGAGACTTGCTCCAGAAAAACCATACGCTGGAATGAATAAAGAAGATTTACTATACTTTTCACAAACGAACTTTTGGATTCGATTAAGATATGTTGTTCTCGCCATAATGGGGTATATTTTTTATGTTTCCTTTAAAAATTATTACCTGTTTATGACCCTCTTTCATCGTTCGTCAAATTTTATTATTACTCATATACTTGCATCTTGCACTCCTCTATCAATCTTACTAAGTTAGTGTAATCGACCCTTTCATATTTGTTTATTAAGGGTTACAAAGGAAAACAATTTGTAAACTCTCACCTTTATTTATACAAGAGGGGATCCATTTATTAAATAGCTTCGTTTATTTTTTCATAGAGTTGATTTTACAACTGTAATGTATAACATTGAACAGGCTCGCTTGGCTCGGACTACTAGCGGCTATTATAGCTTTAACCATTGTTTGGCCTAGATGTAAGGTAAATCAAGCATTTTTCTATGAGAATTAATTATATATTGGCCCAATTTATAATTTGAATCAAAGTCAAGAAGTTGGTTAACAATATTTTTATCTTTGCAGAAAGAACCCACAACAGAATGGTGGCAAAGTTCAAGAATTTACAGTATCTATGTACCGACCTTTTACGATTCTGATAATGATGGAATTGGAGATTTGAAAGGAATTGAAAACAAATTAGATTACATTAAGGATTTACACGTATCTGCCATACACTTATCTGCCCTTTATGAGAGTGGAGTAGGCAATGTCGATCAAGGGTACGAAATTGTTGATCATAAAGCTATTTGGAATAATCTTGGAACATTGAGCGATTTCGATAGTTTAGTTAACGCTTCCCATGCAAACGGTAAAAATTAAAATTTTTAAATTTTACCAACTGTATCATCCGATAACTTTTTCCCAGGTTTGAAGGTTATTGTCGATCTAGTGCCAGGTCATACAAGTACAAGTCACAATTGGTTTGTGCAAAGTAGCAATGCCGTTCCTGAATATGAAAACTATTATATATGGCGTGACTGTGCTCCTCCAAATCTTCCAAATAATTGGGTATAAAGGAAATTTAATGCAATTACAATGATAAATTAATATTTCCATCAATATCATAACAGAAAAGCGTATATGGTGGTCCTGCGTGGACTCAAGCTGGTACTAGAAATCAATGCTATCTTCATCAACTATCAAACTCTCAAGCTCAATTAAATTTGAGAATAAAGAAAGTTCGAGACAGTATTGAAGATATTATGGATTTTTGGTTAAACAGGGGTGTCGATGGCTTTAAAGTCATTCATTCAACTTTCTTATACGTTGACAATGAGTACAGAGATGAACCAAATGCTAATAACGGTCTAAAGTACGATAGTTTGAATCATATATATACTAGAGCTCAGCCAGAAGTATATAATTTAATTAGCGAATGGAGATATAAATTAGATGAAAGATATGGCCAAAATTCAAGAAAGTGAGACAATTTGCATTATTATTCTATAATAAGCTTATTAAGTTTTGTCTAAAAAATTCTTAGGATCCTTATGACTGACGCGGATGAAAACGTAGCAAAACTTAAAGAGTATTATAATTATTTGGGAAGAAATGGATCTCAAGTTCCCATGAATTTTCCATTTACTAAACTTGCCGACAGTTGCGATGGTCTCTGCGTTACAACTAATGTCCGTTTATGGACTCAAAATACCCCCACTGATTGTTTCCCCAATTGGCTGGTAAAAAGAGATTGATTAAATTATTCATAATTTGCTTATAACAAATGGTATTATTTTAAAAAATAACAGACCGGAACTCAAGATATAAGCAGACTGAAATCTAGATCTCCAGCTAATAGTAAAGCTTACAATATACTTAAAATGACCTTACCAGGAATTTCAATAAATTATTACGGGGAAGAAATTGGAATGGTTGATGGAACTAACTCAAACGTAGATCCAACAGTAAGCTCTCAATAAGTTTTTTATTATCTCATTCATTCTTTAACGATTGCTGTTTTTTGTAACGTTTAGCCATTGCGAAGAGATAAATTTAGAACGCCTATGCAATGGGATTCCAGGGTACTAAATAATGGTTTCTCAAATGCATCAAATCTCTACATTCCAGCATTATCGACCAATATAAGTGTCGCTACTTCACGTAGTGACTTGAACGCTTTCAAATCTGTCACGAAATTAAAGATGGATGCGTTCAGTTTGCAATTTGGAACTTTTGAAATTCTGCCGAATTTACAACAAAATCTATTCGGTTTTCTAAGAAGATTTAATGGAAAAGACAGGTTAGCAGATAAAGATTCCGTATTCTTATCTTATCTTTATTGAATAGTTGTATTTTTTCCCTGTATTAGTTTCTTAGTAGTTGCAAATTTCGGAAGAACACAAACCACCGAAAACCTGTCCAACAAGCACGAAAGAATACCCTCCGAGGCTAATGTTGTGGCCAACATTGGGCAGGAATCTAGTTATCCTATCGATGACGATAAGGATATCAAATTAAAATCTGTCAGTATAAAACCTGGCGAGGCCATCGTATTTAAATGGGACTACGAAAGGAGTATGAAAGATAAAAAAGATAAATAAATAATTGATAATAGAAGAGAAAAATTGAATTTTTCGCTTTTGAATAAAAGCAAATTTATTTAGGTTTTCCAATGATGAATACATATAAAAAAAATGCATTGATTAATCCCCTTCTTCTTTTAAGACTTCGAACATAATTTAGATGAGTGAATGATAAGAGTGTCCTTCGGTACAGATGACAGTTATAAATAGCTAGGGCGAAAGGGGGATGTTATTTGTACATTTAAAAATAGATTGCAAGAGGCCATAAAGGGTTAGGGATGAGTATATTACACTAGATATCCCATTCCTATCTTTTTTATTCTTTTTCTTTTCATCCCTTGATACTGATTTCTATCAGTAACACGCAACACTTTGCATAAAAATGTCTTTTTTTTCTTTTTCCTAAAGTATATATAACGAATTTTATGATAAATTTGATAATTTTATACATAATCCATTTTCTAGTAACAATTTCTACTGTAATACCAAGTCATTTCATCAGAAGGTAGCTGAATATTTACATATAAATTAGCATTTTGTTTACATTCACAGATATTGTACGCAAATACAATATAGATAATAAAACAAACAATAGATCCTAATTACTGTCAATGGCAATCAACCAGACGACTTTCTTTCTCTTTTGTAACATTTAAAAAAAAGTCGTTTTAGTAAAGTAATCAACTAAAAAAGGTATGAATAAATTTTCCTTAAATAATATACATAAAATACAGTTTTATCTTGAATTAATTAATTTATTCATAAAATATGCAAAATAAAAGTTTTTAATCTTAAATATTAAGTTGTAATAAAGAATATTCCTATGAATTTTTATTAATTTTCATAAATTTTACATTTTAGCGATCTTAGCTATAATAATTAATTATTTATATTGTAAACAATTTGTAAATATTGGAAAACTCTAATAAATGATGTTTGAAAGAAGAAGAAAGGAAAGAATGATAGCTTAAATATTTAAAATTGAGAAGTAGAATTAATTTTATTCTAGTGAATCGAATGGAGAACCTAATAATTATTTCTTTTATGGATATATAGGATGATATATATATATATGATTACTTGTTCCATCAGTAGTACAATATATGTAATCGGTGATTGTTCGACCTTTTAACAATTTTAAAGTTCAGACAGTTAAACTTTTGAGAAATGTCAAGAGAATTTGCTTTGTAAAAATCAATCTAAGACCTGTTATTTTTATCCATTTCTCTTACTTATTTATATAAATATGTATATATAAAACCTTTATAGCCTTTCCCCGTCTTTCACTCTTCCAATTTTTTCCCTTCAATCCTTCTAACCTAATTTTTCTCTTCATCTACCTCTTTTTCTATCTGCTAGTCTCTATCATATGGAAAAATAGTGTAAAGCTTTTAAATAGGCTTTTGAAAAAATTAACCGTAAACCGAATCTTTATTTTATAAATAATCGCTGTGTGAAAAAAATTGGCGGTTAGTGTTCCATTTGAAGTAATTGCAGTTTTAAAAAAAAAAATAATAACAAATCACTCTAAGAATTTGCCTGGATTTACCTTGCATGTAGCAGAGGGAAATAAAAATAAACAAGAGAAGTAGAGGAAGACAGACAGAGGTGGAGAGAACAACGCAAATAAAGAGACATAGGGAGAGAGACAGAGACAGTCAGCCAGAGAGACAGACAGACAGAGAGACGAATAGAGAGAGCGAGAGATGGAAAAAAAAATGAAAAAGGACTATAATTTACAGATATATTTTTTCTGACTGAAATTGGATTTTAACATATATATAATCTAAAATATTTGCAATTTTAGTATATATGACGCTCTTACCTATTTGAATTGTTTGCTTCTTCTAATGTGACGTCATATTTTCCATCATCGCCAGTAAAAGCAATTAGCTAGTATAGTTGTGAAGCTATAATTGCATGACTAAGTCAGAAAAGAGGGCTTAAAAGAAATATTCTAAACACGAAAAATTTCCTTATTAGTATATTCCACCTCCGCCTTCTTTGTAGATATAGTAGAAGGGTTAAAAAGAGAAAAAAGAAAGTAGAAAATTATAAAGAAAGGTCGCAAGAGAGAAAGAGAGAGAGAAGGAAGGATAAGTCTACGAGAGAGTGAGAGAAAGAAAGAGGGAGAGAGAGACGGGAGAAGGGAGGAAATCGTCAGCTGTTTCTTTTCCGCTCAAAAAAATCTGTCATCAAACTCGACTGGAACTGATTCGCGTTTAACCGGCAGTCGTGCCTAGAGCGTCGCAAAGCAAATTTTTTTCCTGTCCAAATAAAAGAACCATGCATTTTTTTATAAATATAAATGTGAAATAGAAAAGTTTGCCATACCCTTTTTTTTATGTATTAACTTTTATCGACATTCTTCTCTTATTAAATAATAAAATTTTAACTAATATTCTCTCTTTTACAATTATTTATATGCTTAATGGAAATTTCAAGGTAAATAATTATTTAAAGGCATACGCAGGCCATTAAATATATGTTTATCACGATTATTTGGAAAGGAACACATAATCTTCAACGTGTGTTAACGTTACTTTGAAGTTTCTACAACACTATTAATCATGTCAAGGTTCTGCAGTTTGCAGTTGCAGCAAGTTGCGTTCGTATCTGATATTTTTGAAAAAAAAAATAACAGAGTTATAAGATAGTTTGAATTACACTTTCGCTAGCTACTGCCATCTGCCGGCTATTGGAAAAGAATAAGAAACATTTATAGATCTTGTAAGAAAGGTATTTATTTTCCTTTAATCAAACATAAACTACCTTCTTAAAGTGATTTTACTTTGTAAAAAGTAGACTACTTGATTTCCTTCTTAACGTTAAGCTTTTTATTGATTGATTTATTGTTACATCTCGTTTCTTTAGAACTTGAAGGCGAAGAAACGCTTCGTTTCATTCATCTTTTATTATGCAGAATAGATATAATTAGAATTTTATCGACTGTTATCAAATTAACACCTTTCGCTCGAATAGATACCTATCAATTAAGCGTTTATATCTTTTCCTGTTTTTTTCCCTTCTTTTCAAGGAAAAAGTAATTATCATATTGGAAATAGGCGTATATTTTTTCGGTAATATCATCAAACATTTGTACTGGCTGTAGGACAGAATCCAAAAAGTAACTAACGTCTTTATAATGTAATTTAATAAATATTATATAGAAGAAATACGATGATTAGTAGTCTAATCATAAATGATGTAAGCTACAAACTTATATAAATGAATATTGTATAAGAAATATATAATTTTTCAATGATAAATATATATCAGGAGCAAAGGATGATAGAATGATAAAAAGTTTACCAAGCCTTATCGCGTATTATTGAAGAGAAATGATATATACATGCAACAGAAAAGAAAGCGGATAGAGATGGAGATAAATGGTCAGAGTGATCCGAATAAATGATAAAAGTAGCTCTTCAAATTTACCAGCACGACAACAACTACAATTTTATTTCTTTTCCGGTACTATCGGGATTCTCTTCTATTAAAAAGATTCTAATAAGGTTCCTACTATTTAAAATGAATGAAAAACAATGCATTAACTCTTTATATTAGGAAAATTCAACAATAAATAATTCTTTTATTGTTAATTAACTACTTTCTTATACAATTTAAATATATCATTCAAATAATTAATTTTAACAACTGGTTTTAAATATTATGTAATACTTTATAATAACTGAATAATTACTTTGTTATAGTTAAATAAAAATAATACATCAATTTTTTAATTCAATTTATAAATTGGATACTGCCTGGTTCTATACTGCTCTCTTATTTATAGCGAACACGGGTAAAATCCAATCGAAGCCAAAGAAAAACTCTCAATTATCGATAGTTTGTCGAGTGTATAACATGAATGGACAGTATACTTATGGTAGATAGCTTGCAGTAAAAAGCATATTAATATGAACAAGATTGTTGAGTTTGAATAATGCAGCCAATATACTGTAATATATATAACGTTGTTTTGATTTTTCTTCTCTTCTTTATCTAAAATATTGTCATCAAAATGCTAAGCTCTATAACACTCGGATTTTCTAGTGTAAATTCCTCATAGACATTCCTTTCTACGTAATTTAAATTCTTTATCATAAAAACATGAAAATGTTAACATAAGAATGAAACCTTTTCTTTTGAGACAAAACTATTATAAAAGGAGATTAAAAGTAATTAAATGTATTACACTATCGATATAATGCGATTAGTAGATAGGGAATTAACGATACACTGCAATATTTATAACTTTATTTTCTTGCCTTTTCTCAGGTTTTGGATGAGACCTTTCTTAGTCGATAATATTAGTATATTACTAATGTAATACATCATTTAAAAATGAAATAATACACAATTTTATTGCAAATAAATCAAGTACTGTATTTTGAATGAAATTACCACTTCGTTTTAGACTATAGTAGCTCTTTTCTTGTACTTTGTAATGAAAAGGTATTTGGCTAATTAATTATGAATATTACAAGTGTTTCTACTCTCTACATTTATATATACATGTATTATTTTTATTGTTAATTTAAATAAATCAACTGGATAGAGCATAGGATGTTGAAATATGTAAAAATTTTTGCCTCTACTACATCATAATCATTCTCATCAAATATCTTATAAAACATTTTTTTCGCCAATGGATAAATTTATAAGCTGTAGGGCTAAAAGTAATTTTTGTACGATGTTTTGGGAGACGATTGCATCTGGTAGAATTGGAAAATTAATCTCCAGAGAGAGCCGGGTTAATTCCGTAAAATATTAAGATAATTTAGTAAGCATCTAATGCCAATTTAACCCTTCCAACATGAAATGTACTGTACACAGTAATCAAAGTTAAATCTTAAGGATTTCATTTAAGTATTACATGCCGATAGTTTAAAACCAGTTGTCAAAAATAGTTGAAACTTTATTATTTCAGCTTTTCCAGATTTTATAAGCTGAGTTAGTGTAAATCCTAATACTTTCCATATATTTGACTTTATGCAAAAGTCTCGCAAAGTTTGTTAGATTATATTTATTATTAAAATATGACTGAAAATTTCCAGAATTACTGTTAGTGTCATTTCACTCTCCCTTAATTTATCACAAATAAGGAAAAGACATCACGTGATTAAAAAATTCCGATAGGAAGTTAATACATAAAAAGTGATACATTATTATATGGATACTGTATATATATATGTATATGGGTTACTTTGTCGTCGAAAATTTACATAATTATATTTCTTTTGACTGTTATATATAGTGAAAATTAAATATATATATAAATATATCCTATAGGTATGTTGGCAATATATATATATATATATATATTTATATATATATATATACAGTATATATAAATTTATATACATTATATTTGTTAAGCTCTTTTGTAAATGTTTATATGTAACGATATAGAAGTTATCTTCGTATTTGTAAACAATATATATATATATAGATACAGACATTTATATATAAATCTCATTGTTTTGTGTTTAAGGAATACATGATTTTATTGATAAGGATATAAATCAAATTAGAGCTTATTATCCTCTTCTTTCTGTTTGATAGAATAAATTATATCTTCCTTTCCTAAACAAAAACCGAAAATCAATTGTAGTACTTCTTTTTCTTTAAAATTGAAAGATAAAATTAGGCTTTTCTGCGTGTTTCCTTTTATCATTAAACATAAACTCATCCATCCACACAGCCAATAGAATGGTCAACCGATTTAGACACAACTATCCAAGCTACACATTACAACGCCAGTATCATGGGTTTTTATCTTATGCATTCGATTTGCATAAAATTTAGATGAAACCGCTGGGTGAAAAGTAACAATTTTTCGCAATCACAATTTCGAATTGAGTCTAGACAAGTAGGATTCGTGTAAATTCGCTTCGTTTTGTCGAACTTCTCTGTAGGATGTAGATGAAAAAAAGTGGAGCAAGTCGAATAGAAGTTCGAATACTTCCGCTAATGTGATTATGGAAATTCCTACCCATAACCCTAATTGTCCTCCTATATCTGACACCAACTGATTTCTGCTATAATCCTCACTTTCTTCTGTCTTTACCACATTACTGTCTGCTATGTAAACGTTTAATCTTGCAAAATCTTTCATCGCTTCTTCCCTTCGTGTGACATTAAAATGGCTCTTGAGAGACGTGTATTTGCCCTGTAAAAATAGATTTACCCGTTTTCGACATATCTCAAAAGAATAGTTGTACCTAAAGAAATAAATATTAGTCTAGAAATATAACTACACTTAGGATACGAATTCTGGTATAACTTTAAATCAAATGATACAAATGGGCAATTAATTAATATAGCCATGTTCTTTATGCATATCAATTGTCCTTGAAAACGGATAAATACTATAGTAGTAGTTCGATTAAATCTCTCAACAAACTTTCCTATACCGAAAACATCCCAGTAGGTGGCATCACCTTCATAACCAGCAGCTGGCCATTTGGATAGGGAATAAGAAACATCGTAAGTCACTTCATCGCATGCAGGAAAACACATGCACGATTCAAGAGCAGTAGAGTTTCTTGACAATCTAATTAACGTTTAAAGTGAAAGGAAATACCCTTGAAAGAACATACCCATTTATATAAGACATAATCGTAGTTAAATACTATATAAATTTGTCATGGAAATATATAAGAAAATTGAAAAGTAGCCTTTCTAATAGTATGATACTCAAAAATAAGATTTCCATAGAACAACAAACAAACCTAGAATATACTCAACTCTACTGGAAAATATCCAAAGAGATTGTTATTTATAATTGTCGTACAAGACTACTAATAGATATGATTATAAAGATTACTCTCTATTAGGCTGGTTCAATGCAATTAATGCATCTAGAAATCTTTCTACGCTTTTAGTAATATGATAAATAACTTTTAAATTTATTTACAGTAAATAGGTACGCTATAATATAATAATAATAATAATAACATATATCTATATATTTATATACAGTATATGCTGCTTATGTAGATATTTCATATTATATTAATAACCTATATCAATTTTAATATATACTACCCTATCATCTTTAGATGAAATACATAGATTTAGGTTGAAACCTTCGTGCAAATTACTCAAGGAAATATTTTAAAGAACTTTTTCCTCTCTCTTTTTTCGGAATAAAACTGCTTCTCATATAAAGTAAATTGCATATGTTTGATTTGAAGATACATTTTTAGTTATACTAATATAAATATAATTAAAAATTGGGTTATAAAACTATTATCTTTTCTTTATATGATATAGAAATCATTGTAGATAAATTTCTTATCATAAATGTTTCCTATCTCTTACTTTAAGATGCAAAAACATACTGTAAGTGATTATCTATGGAAATACAATTTAAAATAATGTCGGAATCTTTCGCCGTTATAGAGAACTTGATTGGATAGTCTCATGATGATACTATGTTGGCAGACCACTTCCAATCTCATTCCGTATTATTTAGTATGCACAGAATGTTGCCAAATTGTGTTTCGTACTAAAAATATACCAGTTTTTAAGAAAAAATTTTCCCCTCTTTCAGCTTTTATAAGACCTTGTAAGCCTTTCTGCCCTCCCTCAAGATTTGGAGATAGGGGTTGATCACTTTAAACGTCAATACCTGCCCTTCATTTTTCTAGCACATTCGATCTTACTGTGTAGATCTAATAATGCCTGCAAGCATTCTTCACTTGGTTCTGAAATACACTTCTTGGGGAATAAATCATCATTTCTACACAGAGGCTTATCTGAGTTATGTCTGAGAGGCAATGCATTATCCGAACAGTTGCATTCTTCTTCAACAAATTTTTGAATGCACATCTTCTGACACGACATTAATCTATATTCTCCGTGTTCGCCAAACGGATTAACTTTCGAACAATTTCCATGAGGAGGACCAATTCGAATATTTCGTCTTGGTTGTACTCCAAAAGATGCACTAAAACCAGTTGGAACATCATATCCTTCAGTGAACGGATATGCTCTCGTTCCAGGCCTGTGAATAACAACTCTAACACCTTCTGAAGCTGACATGGGACTACGAGATTCGTGCAATCCAGGGAGCATCCGAATTTCATCGTTCTTATCTAGCATACCTTTTAGAAATTTTTTGAATAATTAATGTAATTTATATAGATATAATATGCAAATGTCTATATGTTATGAATATGGTATATGTCAATGGCAGCTATGCAAGAGATTCAAATATTTATTATAAATTTCTTTGTAGCATATATGACATTTCGGAGACTTCTTTCATTATAATGATAAAATGTGTGCCTATAAAAAAGAAAGGCGAATGACATTATCCTATAATGTTTACCTTTTGTTCTATTTAATCGAATTCTATATATCCTATAAAAGGAACAACTAATAAAGAATACGAACTAAGAATCGTTAAAACGAGCTATTCTGGTTTCACTCACATTGCAGAAATATTATCAATAATTGCCAGTTACATAAAACAAACGGAAGGAAACTTACCAGAGCCTGATAAAAGTATGGAGGACCATCCATTTTCAATTCCTTCAGACAGTTCTCTTTCATTAACGGCAGGCTCATAGGTGAAACAATTAAAATAATATGAATCGAAGAAGCGTTTGAATCTATCCGTAATATTACACGATCTCCCTGCGTATTGACAGCTAACTATAAAACCCTCTAATTGAACAGCGGCTTCTTCAATAACAGACTCCTCTATGTTAGCAGACATAGTAGTTCTTGAAAATATATCTTGAAATACTTCAGGAAAGTTGTCTTGATAAGTATACCATAATCTTGCGTATTTGGCAACAATCTTCATATAGTCCGAAACAAATCGTTGATTTGTGGAATTGATGTGATTTGCTGGTTCCGGATCTTTTATAAACATCCTGTTAACTTGATTTAACACATGAACATCCAAATTCCGAAAATTACACAATGATATAGCGGGAAAGGCGACTGGTGTAGCAACGACTTCTATGGTAACTTTTTTTGGGTAGGAATAGTAGCGTTTAAGCACCTCAAACATCTGCATACCAAACATAGAACCGGCCAAAACGCAGACGACGATCCAACAAGATCTGGCGGCGACCGATCGGGCTTTTATAGCTTTCGGAACGCCGTGCATACTCGTCGAATCGGCGAAACGGTCGAGAACGTCACGCAAGCGGCTCATCTGAAACTCGCATGTTTCGCTCTGCAAACGACTTTGCGATAGGATACAGAGCAGCGCCATCACGATGACTTTTCTAAGCATACCTTCCGGTGAACTTATAAATATATAAATAAACATATAAATATATATTTAGAGATTACACACATATTAATAAATTTAATGAGTACGTTTTCATTAAATATATTAGAATAATGTAAATATTATAATTTTATTTTGCGTTGAAAATTAGACTCTGCAGTTGCAGGATCGTTTTTGGATACATTGAATGTTTACCTATAGATCACAGTAAAGGTAATATATATACATAAGTATATTTAGATATTTCCTGTAGTAAGTGCTATAAAAACAATTTTTACTTTGAATCTTGTAGGTGATAGAAATAAGCTACAGATATTTCCTACTTTACCCTTTTATTTCAGCAGTAAATCATTGAGAGAGCGTAGTATATACTGATAAAACATTTTTAGCCGGATTTTTAGATATTAAAACTGAATTTAGGCTAACTGCTTTGAAAACTGTATAGCCTACTCTTCTTTCTTATTAAAATAGGGCTATATGAAAAGAAAAGAAAAAACAAACTCATTTAACAAATAGCAACTTCTCTTACTTAAAATTCCAACGTCTTGGACACGATTAGATGAGTTGAGAGTATCACGTGATTTTCTCGTTAGCTTATGTTGAGGTTAATTATCATGTGAACAAGTCTCCAAAATCTCTGAAGAATTGACAAATGTTCGAAAAGTGTTTTTTCTTCTTAAGGATATACACTTTCATTAAGAATTTCCCTTGTCAACTAACCTTTGACACTTAAAAGCTTTATTTTGCAGTTCCATCACATAATACATTACCTTTGTTAGACTCGGAGAAATAGCTATTTTTATTATAAATATAATTGAAAAAACTATCGATGGCATTTAATATCATGTTTATAATCTCAGTTTTCGTTAATAAAAAGAGTATTTTTATGGAAGCTGTGTCTTGTAACATACATTAAAAATATAACTAATGTCTTATTATCAAAGTATAATATCTAGAGAATATATTAGAATACATATACTGTATATATACAGCATATACAATATATATATATATATATAATCTATTGAAGTATCGAGGCAATAGAATAATAAATACTGAAAAATTGAGGATGATAAATAAATATTTCCAGAACTTGCTACGGACTAAACCATCAAGACACAAATTCTATGAATGACGTCAATTGACTCGCTTCAGCCAGTTCTAATCTCTGTTAATTTGATGGTAGGACGTTGATGTTGAAGTATAGAAGAAACCTATTTGCGTCTAATAAACTATCTTTTTATTAACTTTGTCCTGTATGTTAAAATTTTTCCAGAATTGAAATTATCGATAACACTAGTTATGTTATTAACTATATTAAAATTCATAAATCAATCCGTAACTTTCAAACGCACTGAGATGATAATTATTCTATTGTCCGTAGTATTTTTTAATAGTTTAGCAGATCTATTAACACAAGAAATTACAATTCAAAAACTCTCCTAAGCTCTAAGCTATATATTCTTATATTTAGAACACAATTAATATATTATCATTCATCATACTTTCTATTTTCTTAATAATTGTGATCAAAAATAGTATTGAGAAAGAAAATTAAATGGAGAATTAAAGAGATAGAGTAATATTTTATTACTTAATAAAATTTAAAATATAAAAAATATGAAAGTGCAACAGATATAATAGATAAAAAAAAGAGAAGGAATATGCGAAAAAGCGTGTAAGCAAAAGAAAGAGGGAGAGGGAAAGAGAAGGAACAAGAGAGAGGGAGAGAGGAAGAGCGAGAGAAAAAGATAAAATTAAGGAGAAGCTTATAGCAGAAGAAAGATATGAAGATATGATATATAGAAACATAAAAGAAATAGAAAAGGCAGAAAGAAAATCGATAATGTATTAAAATATTAATAATTTGTCGTATTTTTATTTTAGTATTTTTTCTAAAGGCTTTAATCCGTACAGGATAAAAAAGAAATAAAATATATAGAGAAGAAATCCTTAACTAAAAATATACACCAATACTCACTGAGAGATAGAAATAGCGGTTTACTGACAGTCTATTGTAGACAAATTTCAATCAGGAAGAAGCATCTAGTGAATTTGATTTGCTTCTATAAAAGAAAAAAGACCTGTAATTAGTAGAAACTTCCCTCTTTTTACTTATTTCCGATCTTAACAGGTTCTTTCAATATAAAGCAAATTTCTCATCATTTAGTTTTCTCAATGTAGTACAACAATACGTTTGTTTATTAAACTGGATAATTTATATTGTTATTTTGTAGGAATATTCTTTTAATACGAATTTTATAATAGAAGATTGTTCAAACGGTAGACAACAGTTTCAAATTTCAACAGTAATACAATTAATACAAATTCCATTTTGAAACTTAAAACATTCATTTCATTTTCAAGTTAAAATTGTTGCAACTCTTAAAATAAGAGATAAAGAGAAGTGTTATGAATTTAACTATAGAATTAACTACCATTTAGACAAAAATCAAGTTCAAACTATTTTCTTTTCTCATTGTATATAGGATGCTTTTGATACATTTTACATATTAAAGAAAGATTATATACGTCTACTTACTGCGTATAAATTACATGACTATAGAAATACATCAAAGGGAAGAGGAAAAGAAGAGAAGGGAGAAGAGAATATGAAAAAAAAAATTCTTATAAATATTTAAAAATCCAAAATTAAAAATTACTTTTTTTATATTTTATTCATTGCGGAAAGTGTAAAAAAAATATAAGCCACGAGATATATCTTAGTTAAGAATAACTTTTTATATCTAAGTAAAAAAAGGATCCGAAGGATTACATCATCAGCTCTTAGTGGGCTTAAATTTTTTTCATTTGAATCAAATATTAATGAAAAAATGTATCCATTCGACCTCTCTGCCTGTCTTGCCTCTCAATTGACTATCAGCCAGTCTAACACTCTCTGAGTCTCGCTCTTACTATGCATCTATTCATCTCTCTATCATTCCATTTCTCTCTCTCTCTCCCTTCGCGTACCTCTCTCTCTCTCTCTCTCCTAGAACTATATTACTCAAATGTCTCCTATATTATATTTCCCTACCCATATTTGGATTCTAACAAGACGAAATGATTGAATTATTATACTGATAAAAATCAGAAAAGAAAAATACTAGGTCATCAAACCAGACTATAACATAGGAAAATGAAAATTAGACTCCGAACGCCAAACTTGTTTTATTAACTATGTACAGTAAATGAGACAATCAGTTGTGTTTTTTTTATATCTTAACATATTGGACTTAAAAAATATTGAGTAAAACTCCACTTTCATTTTATTCCTTTGCTTTAAGTGCTAAAACAACTTAGAAGTATAATTACTAGTGTAAAATTCAAGTCATTTACTAATTAGAATTTTTTAAAACTAATTAGCAAGAAACTACACAAAGTTTGCAAAAAAGAAGAATTACCCGAGTACTTAAAGAATTTTGATTTAGACAGGCAAACATTCTTCGATTGACGAATAATGCTTAGCTCATCTTATATAGGTGAATATGTTATCTGAAAATGGGAACTATGATACTATTTTAGGAAGAACTTGTTCAGTTGTGAAAACTACGTAGTGGAGAGAGACTTTGTCTTGAAGTAGCATCCATTTACCACCTACTAATTCTATGTATAATAGAAAAATTCTTTACAACTTTTAGGTTGATAAACAACTAAGCACTGAGAAAATCAACTTTTTTCTACTACAGCTGTAATAATACGTTTACTAATACTTTTAGAAACGGAAAAAACTTAATATCCATAGAGTTTTATACTAAATATAATGAATAATTGATGAAATTAGATAACAGAAGAAAAATTTCGCCATAATAATTGATGAAATATTTCATCTAAAAGACTTTCTCTTAAACGAAAAAATGGGGAGGGAGGGTGTTAAGCCTGGCGTCGAGTTATATAATTTTTCTATATTCTACGGCAGATTTATAATAAAAATCTATGTAAATACGATTCAATGTTTAGTATATTACTAAGTTAAGCTTAAAAATTACAAGACAATTATAATTAATGATTAAAAAATGAATTAATACTTCAGTTTATATTTTGAAAATTTTTCATTATTTCCTTTTAACTAAAATGGATAAATAGCTTTTAAAATTTCTAAACTATTTTAGGCCTTGTTCGTTAAAAATTTTTTCATCTATCAGTCAAAATTTACAAGATTTTCCGACCTTTTAAGCTATCAAAGCTAAAAATTACATTAGACTAAAGATTCACCGCTTTCCTTTTGTGAAGTACTAAACTATATTATTTAAAAATTTCTTATCTCTTCTTCCTTAACTTGATAATCCTATGAATTAGGGAGATATCATAATAATACTTGAATCAAAATATCACTTTTAAAATATGATATTTTGAATTTTACGTTGTTAATGACTAATTATCCATCTTTTAGAAGAAGATTATCCCTACTTAATTAACAAAAAGTATTACATGTACAATAATTACAAATGAAAAGTATTATTTCATTCCAATTCGCAAAAAGCAATTTCTTTCCTCTAAACCTAGTAGCGGAAGGCCTACTTCAAACCTGTTTGTAATTTTTAGACAATTGACCCGCTATTGAATGACATAACGAGCTCTTATTTACTTACATTCTCTAAATTAACTGCTTAAAGTGCTTCCTTATTTTTATTCAACATTATATCGACAAGTATTTTGGAGGCAATACGAGAAAGAAAAAGGAAATAATATCATCACAACTACTTTCCTCAACTCCAACAGCTGTAGTATCAAAATATCTGAAAAAGTATATGCACTGTATCTATGTAAGAATCTATTGGAGAATTACAGACTTATTGCATAACATATTCCCACGATGATATAAAGTATAAAATCTGTTATGTTTGGCCTAGTTTTTCTTTTGTTCTTTTTTTATCTCTTCTTTGAGTAAAAACATTTTTCTGTCTTGCTTTCTTCAATAAACTTTCTTATTGAAACATCAAACTTTCATTTATTGATTTAACAATTGATTGAAAACTATACGACTACTAATCCGAAGAAAATTTCTTTTTCTGATGAAATCAACAACAGAAAATAGAGAATTAATTAATTCTATCAATATTTGCCAAATATCTACTAATTTAACTTATTAACCTAGTTCTTTTCCCATCTATTTAGGGCCTGTTGGACAACTTATACTGACTACAGCAGTTTTTTAAGCTTTCAGGATTAAAGAATTTTCCGTATATACAGTATATAAAACTTTATATATATATCGTATATACATAAAATATATTAATTAGCTTTTGAGGCTTTTTTACAAGTTTAAAAGTGACTTGGAAAAGTGATTCTTATACGTATACTATATAATTTTGATGATATATTAACTATTTTCTATTTTCTATTCAATGGCAATACAGAATTGTTCATCATTTCAAATTATCCATTTATCATTCCAACCTAATCTTAATAAGATAATTTATACAAAATATACATATAGAGAGGCATACAGCCGCTAGTATAAGCGTATACCCCATGTATATGATATAAATAAATGCACATATATATTTATAGAGATAAATATATATATAAATAGATACTTATATACTCTCATTTTGCAGATACATACTTACAATATATGACTATCTCTCTCTCTGTATATTCATATATTTATTTATATAAGTATATGTCATATTGAAGTCAAATGTCTAAATAGGCTTCATGTACTGAATGTAAGAAGAGAGTGTGATATATGAAGTAAACAATTGGGATCAAATTTATTTTTGGACGTAACATAAAGAATAAGTTGATTAGATTTTTGTGTATATTTATTTACTTCTTAAATTTATTCTTTTATATAAAGAAACGTTGTTACAAAAAGGATATAGAACTACAAATTGGAAACAATGTTCCGATCGTCGACTATAGATAAAAGGAGAAAGCTATTGGGCGAAGATTTTGATGTAATAAATTAAAGTACTACGTAATTATTAATTAATTTTACTAAAAAGATCTCTATTCTTAATTAAAAAGGGTATATTAGATCCTGTCAAAGAAGATCAACTTTTCGAGTATATTGACGAGAAAATAAATTGTGGAACAAGGTTGTTCTTATTGAGAGAATACTTTAATTAAAGCAACATAAATAGTAACTAAAGATGATAAACTCTTTAGCTCAGAAGATACAAAGGATATAGAAGATTGTCAGATGGAACTACCTTCTCCAATTTGTGGAAATTTCATATTTGGCAAAAAGAAGAGAAGTAAAGTAAATAAATAGAACTATTTATTGTGCATAAAATATATAAAATACTCTAAAACAAGGGATACTTTTATCATAACTTGACTAAAAACCTAGTGCATAAAAAGGCTTTAACTATTCTTTTATAGTTTGTCAAAGTTGGTGGAAGTAATAAAGAAAATGAAGTCGAACCCCATATGTATAGTGTTTATGAGTTGATGATTTCTAAATGGAAATGTAAAAAACCTCACTTAGTCATTTCAATAACTGGAGACGCCACTGAAACTGATATAAGTACTCAGGGATCAAAATTCAAATACAAATGGGGACAAGAGCTAAGGTTTTTGGTGAATAAAACAAGTAAAATACTGTTTCTACTACAATTAACTATGAAACATTGGCTAATTGCGCAATCACGCACAATTTTTATAACAATTAAAAAAATATATTGTAATTAATTGATTATATATTCTCATCTACGAATAGATTCCTGGGTAATTACTGCAGGAACCAATGCTGGGGTAATGAAAGAAACAGGAGAATTAATAAGTATGCCCGATTACGTACTTAACACCAAGAACCCTTACGAAGCTGTTGTTATTGGAGTTGCTCCATGGTGGAGAATTCAGCATAGAGAATCAATAATTGAAGAAGCGAAACGAACTAATCCTAAAAAGATACCCTTAAAATACTATTATAATTTGAATAAGGCTGCAATGCCTAAAAGGTCTGGAAATCAATATTTCTTAGCATTTCATATTTTACCAAATGATCCATATTTCTTTGTCTACTTTCCTAGAACATTGTTAAATTCAAATCATTCACATTTCCTTTTGGTCGATGATCATAAAGGGAGTTGGGGATCCGAAGTTGATTTTAGAAACAGTTTTGAAGGTCATTTATCAACTGAAGGTAACAATCCGTTGTCCGTTTTACTTGTAAAAAAATGCGTAAAATCGTAATTTATTGTTTCCTAGAAAAAATTCCCGTTGTTTGCATTAGCATTGGAGGTGGGCCGGGAACGCTACAAACCCTTGCCGGGGCTATTACAAAGAAAATACCTATAATCTTAGTCAAATACTCTGGAAGAATAACTAAACTCTTTATTGATTTTATAGAAAAAAAACTTAAACCATTCGATGTGAGATCTTTCAACATTTGTCTTTGAACTTAGTTCCATTAACCTTATTAAACCAACAGAATCGAGAGGAATTTCTCAATGCACTCAAAAACCTTGTGAACGAGGACAGTAAAGCGTATAAATTCTTCACCGAAAAAGAAGAATACTGGCACCATTGGAAAATCTGCCAAGAAATGCTAAATACCGATGTATTCCAAATCTACAATCCAAAAGCCTTAAATCATGTTCCACTTAAATCTTTAATAATGAGATCATTAAAGGGGGCCGCTATGTCAGATGGTAGATGGCGTTGTTTGTGATGTCTACTTCACCTTAATAATTTTAAATTTTTTTTCTTGTCTTTTACATAACTAAAGGTAAACTAACTGGAACTGAATGGAGGGCAATTTTAAAATTGGCAGTTGATTTAGATGAAGATAAGATAGGAATGGAAATGTTAGAAAAAACTAACTTACCGGTAGAAATCTCTTTTATACATTTCCTGACAAACTACGTGGCTTGTTTTAATTCTATACAACTGAATTTCTAAACTAACAGGAAAATTTAGCTGAAAGTACATTACCAATTGAAGTTGCTTTAGATAAAAATAGAATAGGCTTTTTGAAGGAGTTTATGAAACTTGGACTTGAATTACACACTGGAAATGCTTTAGATGATCATCTGGTATCTGGTCTAAATATGGCGCGATTATATTCAAAAGTATTAGCATAGTATAAGATACTAAATAGAAAATATAAAGTTTATAATAATTTGCAGATAAGACAACCTCATCTAAAGAAAATATTCAAAATTGTAACTTTAATACATACATTTATATATATAAAATTACACTTGTATAATAGCCCTAATAATTAATAACAACAAATTTTACATGTCTAAAATAGAAGAAATTTGGAGAATTCGTTCCATGTTATAGGATTAGAAAATTCTATATAAAATGTCTTTCATTAAGAAATGCAGAATGTAAGAACTTTTTATTTAATTTATTTATTTATTTATTTATTTTATCTATTCCATTCCTCTAATAGTTACAACTTTTCTTCCCGGCTATGATTGTTGCGATAAATGTATCGAGCACGGCGAAGGGGGTGTATCAAAACTGGGCAATAATGCAAAAAGAGAAGAGCAACTGGCAACTGTGGATGATATATTCGTTTGGGCAGTAGCTAATATAAAAACGGATGTGGCTTTAGCCCTTTTACCTAGAGCCGAATACCCTCTGGGCTGTATTCTATTCGCAATCTGTATTCTAAATGTTTTAAAAGTTGAAATTGGAGTTTTAAATGAATTGTATGATAATGTTGAAGTTGCTATTGAAAAATTTGAGAAGCTCTCTGTATTATTCATAAATAGGTATAAGATATGTTGAGCTGCATTTCTGTACAATCTACTTATTACCTACAAAATCCGTCTTTTCAGTTATTTAATCGAATCAATTTAATGATAATATTTTATGACAGATGTGAGAATATTAATATTCACAATACTCAACTACTATTAGTTCGATCTATACCGAAATTCGCTTACCAATCGCCTTTAATTTTGGCCAAGACTGCAGTGAATCAATCCTTCATTGTAACTGACGCTTGTAAACAAGTTATTGAGGGAAGATGGAAAGGATTATTCAAGACTGACGTTCAGGGATTTCAAGTAAACTAATTAATTAAATCAGAGTACTTATCTCTACTTAAAATTTATAAATAGATAACTAGCTTGATATTTACTGCACCCTTTGTTTTTCTATCTAAAAAATGGAGAGAGAATAATATTAAAACTATTAATGACGATCCAATCCTAAATCTTAAAAAGAAGGTATCCTTCATATTAATTTCCCGAAGATATATTGTAATTTTATCTCTTTTACAATAGATTGAAGGCTATGATTTAAAAGAAGATAAAGTCTTTGGCTATAGGGAGAGTTTATTAGAGTTTATTAAAGATTGTCCTATAAATAGGATGATGTTAAATCTTGTTTGTTTGCATTTTCATTATATGAGTTTTATTCGAATTTTGCCAATATTTCAGCTAAATACGGTTGCCTTAATAGTAATATTTGTTTTTCAAATATTACAACCAAATCCTCCAGAAATTATTTTTCATGTTCTATTTGCTTTCGTTTTAACTCTTGTAGTTCAGGAGATCTTGGAAGTAAGCATCACTCTATATACATAACTAATATTCATTCGTCTTATCATTTAAATAGATAGCAAGAGAATTTAAAATGCAGAGTAGAAACCCTTTGAGTGAATATTTATTGGACGCGTGGAATCTTTTAGATATTACTGCAATTTTTACTTATATAATTGGCTATACTTTTCATCAATGTGGATTTAACGAAGGATGGTGTAGACTTTGTTTTGGTTTGAGCCTATCGGCTTTCATTTTGGGCTTATTACAGTACTTAACAGTTCTTATAAGAGTTGGACACCAAATAATAACTATTGGTAAATTGGTAAGAATTGAACATTATCGATTGTAGTTATTAAGCTCATTTTTTTAAATATTTTGTCATCAGCTGGGCGAACTAACAACTTTTCTGTTTATCCTGGCATTTTTCCATTTGGCTTATAGTTTCGGCTCATTTGCCATGCTTCGTCCTAGCGCAAGAGCTGATTCAAATACCGTAGAACTGCTCTTGATGCATCCCTATTTCCAAATGTTGGGTGCCATTGAAGTGGAAAATATTGATAAGAGCGATCAATCGAGAGAGTACTGTTACAAAAACGAGACTATGAATGCGCCAGAAGGCTGTGTTATTGAACAAGGAGAAAAAGCATTTCCCTATATTCTGGCAATATATGTTATTCTAACAAACATTCTACTATTAAATTTATTAATTGCTACGTTCACATACACTTTTGATAAGATACAAAGAACTCAAAAAGAAGTGTACTACTATGGTAAATTTGTAACAGTAATGGATTATCAAAACAGAGGGGCCTGTCTTCTCGTATTTTCACTTTTTACGTTTCTCTATTATCTAATGTCAATCAAAGATAATGAATCTATATTTAGTAAGTATGCAATGAAAGTAAACATTTTTAATGTCTTTCTCTGTTTTAACAAAGATATTCGAATGAAATATAAACCTAAAAGATCAAGGGGCTTCTTTACATGGATCAGAAGTAGTCAAAATAGTGACGACGTTCATTTAGATACTCTTGCAAGTAGTGTTTATGGAAGAAGTCTCTCAGGATATTCAAATGGTCAAAATCAAATGACAATAGAAGAAAAACTACATATAGAAAAAGAAAACGAGATTAAACGTATAGATGAACAACTATCCTTATGGGAAGATGATGTACGAGATAAACTGTTTATAGAGAAAAACGGAGAGCTATCATAAATTATATAAAATGCAGAAATAATATTAATATTTTAAGAAAAAGCCTATTGTATTCACTTCATCTACCAGACACAATCATTTCCTACTTGATCTATGTGGTTAATAGGACGACAGTTTCTGTTTGATAAGCTATAATTGAGAAATTAAACAAGTCTCATGGATATAAAATCAGAAAAATAGTATGCTCCTAAATTACTTGTCTCCAATAAGGTATTCATCACTCTTCATTGTCAAATATAAACTCTTCAAAAGTACTTTTCCCTCTATCAAACATAACCTAAATAGGCTTTTCTGCTTACTTATATATACAGTAAACTGCTTTTATCCTTCTTTCTTTCTCTAATAGATGGCACTAGAAATATTATTCTATATCTTCTTTTTATTTTAGTAAATATGACATAATTAAAAAAATAGGATAAAGTGTTAACAATACATTATTAGCAAGAAAAATGCCATATAAATTAATGTTGTTAGTTCTATGTTTTTAGAGAGAATAAAAATCAAGTATCTTTCAATGTTTATAAATATCAATTCCTACTTACACAGAATAGCAGAATACAATGAAATATAAATAAAACTAACAATTTGAATTACACATAACATGAAAAACAGATATTCGATAGATAGTTTTTTCATGCATAGACTAAAAGGTAAAGTATTAAAGACGGATTAAGAATTACTTAAAACATAAAGGATTATTTATTGTATATATTGAAAGAGACTTTATGGCGTAAAATCAACTTGATAAATTACTTAAAAGTCAAATATTCTCCTTCAACTGTATTATTAATTTCCATTTAATTTTGCTGTTTGTCAAAGAATTTTAAAATGAATATTCTGGAATCGAGACTCAGTTGATAGTATAAAATCTATATATAAACTTAGGGTAAGTTAGATATTCACAAAAATAATGAAAGTGCAGTACTGCTAGTTCATCGGGATATAATCTCTAATCCTTTCTTTTAAATACTAAAATGTTGGCATATTTCCTTAAGCGCAACATTAACAAAAGTAACAGATTAAATATGATAAAAAAAAATAAAAAATGCGCAATCTAATCACAACTAGCTGCACATGACGCCCTCAGACAGAAGAAAAAGTAATTACACCGCATAGGACGTCATGAACGCGTCCAACACAAGTGTAAATCTCTTAGAAGCACATTTGCAACTTACGAGATTTGCTGTACAAAAAGTTATCACTCCTGTTATCGCTTCTTCGGGGATTATACTCAATATATTAAACGTTCTCGTTCTATCAAGAAGGAATATGAGATCTTCATCTACGAATACTTACCTCTTTGCCTTAGCTATTTGCGATATCGGATATCTAAGTCTAGCTTTGACCTTGACTTTAAGACATTATGATGACATAGTAAAGGGATCATTGCATTTTGAAAGGTACTATTTAGCTGCTAGAGTTATGGCCAATGTCTTTTCAAATGCTGCAGTGTGGCTAACTTTAACTTTTACTGTCGAACGTTACGTTTGCGTTTGTTTCCCAATGAGAGGCAAAGCAATATGTACACCGTATAGGGCCAGATCGACCGTTTTAGTTGTTTGTTCAATAGCTACTTTACTAACCTTACCTCAAGCAGGAGAGAAAACAGTAATTGAAGATGGAGGAAATATCTCAATAGACTTTACGTCGTTAGGAGATTTAGCATCTTACCAGTGGGGTTACGTTTATACTAATCAGGTATGTGATTCGGTGAAGAGATTTTTTTTCATGTATTATTCACAAATTAAAAAGGCGTTACTTTGTAAAGAAATGAAATAATGTTAAATTAAGTTTCTATTTTCTTAGCAAAGTGTCGAACTATCTTATTGCTTCCTATGACGGAAATAATTAGTGTATTTTTCTTTTAATTACGAATTCTTTACCGAATCACCGGATTAGGCATTGTTCACCTTTATTCCAATGATATTGTTGACCATCTTTAATAGTTTACTGATAAGAACTGTTATGAAAGCTGCTAAGAAGAGGACTATTCTAAGAGCTGGCCAAAAGCCTAAAATATCGGAACAGCATCGGACGACTATTATGCTCATTAGTATCGTTATGGTATTTCTTATATGTCAAACTCCTCAGGCAACAACTAACATTGTGTGGGCCTATTTTAAGCTAACTAACAGTATTGATGATAGGCGCAAAAGGGTTATGCATATTGTGGGAAACATCTGTAATCTTTTGGTTATCATCAACGCTTCTATAAATTTTGCCCTATATTCTAGCTTAAGTGAAAGGGACGTGAATCTCCAACCGTAATTTAGTCAATATGTCACCTATTTTCCCTTTCTTCTTTTTTTATTCCAATTTACCGTATCGTTAGAATAATTTGTATAAAGAATTTCCAATTCGTTCAGGGATAAAAAAGGTCAATGGGAGTTCGACCTTGACTAAAACAGGGATAACTTTGTAATAGGTAAATCTTTGCTCTTTTTAAGCAAAAAGTAACTTTCTCTGCAAATATGAAATACTTTAATGATAAAAACTATAAGAGTTTGTGTCAATTGCCTTTTTCTTCTTTTCATATTAACTTTATCCCCTTTCTTTTACGTAAAAGTTCCTTTAAAATATTTTTCTTTGCAGTATAATTTTAAATAATAAGAGAATGAGGTAAATAGATACATTTCAACTTCATTAAACGCAATATTTAGATAGAAACATGTGATAGAATCAACAGCCAAAATTTCTCTGATATAGAAATTTAAAAAGAAAGAGGAATTTTTTCTAATCAATTATTACTAAAAATAACTTATCAAATAGTTAATTAATTAACTTGGAAAATCTTCTTTAATGGATAAAAATCAACAGTAAAAAAAATAAGAACTTCCTCTATCTGATTATCTACAAAAAATAGAGGAGTTCTTATAGCTTAACGATTGTTGATTCACGTCCTAGCTTCCGGAAGACAATTGGAGCAATTTTTTGGTGCCCTGAAGAAAATCGACTCCCCAGGAACTATCGGTCTCAGTTTGAATTAGTTGTATCCAATACAACTGCTTTAGCAGTTTAAGAACTCTGATTTTGTTAAGAAGAATTTCAATAATTAATTATAGCATAGGAAAGGGATCATTAAAATAATTTCGTTTATCCTAATCTTAATCTTTTGCTAATCATTTCAACTATACTTTGAATGAAAAAAGGAAATAGAAGAAACATAATAATAAGCATTTCTCGTTTAATAGAGGATAAATATCATATACTTATTGAAAATCTTTAAGACAAAAACAAAAGGAAGAGAAAATTAGAGAGGACTAAAGACACTTTTGGAAATTTTAACAATTGTTATAAAACGCGAGACGGAGAGAAAACATCGCGAAACAAGTAGCATATTAATATATTAATAAAATGGTTTTATATATGTATATGAATGTAATTTTTTTTGTTCTAATATTAGAAGAAATAAATAAAATGGCATCGTTATTAGTTTGGCTATAGAGTGAAAGAGAAAGAAGCGAAGTGTGGAAGAGAGTACATATATACTGAATATATATAGATATATATATAGATATATATGTTTATCTAAGTCAGAATAGGAGTAGTGAGCGAACGAGTGGAGAGAGAGAGAGAGAGAGAGAGAGAATGAAAGAGGGGGTAGAGTAAATGAGCTAAAGAAAAAGGGTTAGAGACAAAATTATAGAGTAAAGAGAGAATATTAAAAAAATATTTTCTTTATATGATATACCACATTTCGATAATATCTATATATATATATATATATGCATAGTCATGATTAATTGAAAGTAAATAAAACTAAAAGAAAAACGTTATTAAATTTTTATATTATTAATTTGCTTAAAATTTAAAATTAATAACTCTTACTTTACCGAATAAGGCCAATAATGTTTACCTCAAGGTATGCTTTTTCTTAAATTAGTTATTTGAAAATTTGGGTTTGTCTTACATTTAGATGAAGAATTAGCTGTATAGGAAGCTTATACTATTAATAAATTTAGTTTTGTAGTTTTCTTGATTTTATAGTTTTTTCAGGAAGTTGATTTGTCATTTTGTTAACATATACATAAACGTATATTTATATATATAGTTCGCCAAAACACAAGGACAAAGGAAAGGAAAAACAATTTTTGGCTAAAAAGAAAATTTACTTTACAGTTTCTTCAAATTAGAAAGTCGAAACGAATGGTTAGATAACGTGAGGAATTGTTTATAAATATACGAAAATAATTCTTCACATTGTTTAAAGGGGAGAAAGTATCTTTTAAAAAAATCTAATATGTTATATAAAAATTTTACTTTTTCTCTTTTCTTATAGAGATTAACTCTTTAACTCCTTATTTCTTTTATAATAATAGCAATTATAATTTAGTAAAATCTTTTCTAGGAAGTATGTTTCATAATTATTAGTTAGCATTATGATAAGATTATAATGATTTTCTAAACCTTTCTAAACATAATTTTTTTATCTACTCGGATAACCAATTTAAATCAGTGTGTTTTGAATTCAATCGTGTCATTTAGTTTACAATAAAAAGAAAGGTTATCAAACAAGTATTATTGATATTTTAATAACTTGATATACATAATTCATATACATAGTACTCATATAGATTACAAGGAGTATATAATGAATATAGCATATAAGAATAATAAATTTTTATAAAGATAGATTGCAACGAGCAGTATAATACTTTGAATATAAGAAATTAATAAAAGGTTGAATTTAGAATTAATGAATCTCGTTTTTTAAAAAATTGATTACCTCTTTTATTCTTTATCTCTCCACTTTATTTAGCATTCTAGTTATTTTTTTTACTTTAAGTCTTATTAGAATGCTAATCTTTATTCTCTTCCTATGTCTTTGAGAACTTTTCATCTGAATATAAAGATATTTCTCATGACTTTTACACTTTCATATTTGAAAGAGTGAAAAAAAACAAGAAATACTGTTATTTTTAGAAAGTTACCCATGCTGCTCTATACGTCTTACTTAAAAGAGTTTAAATAGTATACAACATAAAAACGTTCTTTATGTGTAAACTTAGGACACAAGAAAGACAGACAGGGAAAATGTTCGTTGCTCTTTGCTAATTTTTGCTTTTAGTGGACGTTTAGAATAGTCGATCTCTTCTGGCAGTTAAATCCATCTTTCTCTTTTATTCTTTCTTTTTAACTGTTTTTATAGTAAAACTGGTAAAAGAAATATCACGATGACATCTGACTGAAAATCCATAAAATAATCGTATGGAAAAATTCATGGTACAATGGTATTTTATAAGTTTTTCGATCTCGACTCCTTTTCTTCCTTTTACTCTTAACCTCTTTTTTCGTAAAATTTCTTATTCTACCCGCGCTTACCATCCTACTTTTCCCTCACTTCACTTTTTCTCTCTATCTCTCTTATTTTTTCTTCTTTTCTCTGGCTTTTACAGCTGGGCCATTAGACAGTTTTCTTTTCTTTAGCCACGCACTTTATCAGCTCTCTTAATAGCCTATCTGTAAGAAACTTATGTAAAAATCTTACAATATAAATTGAATACTGCTGGACAGGCATTGTTTTATCCGAAAATAAAGTTTGTAGCAACTCTCCCTAATTGAAGCTAAAGGCATGAATATCATTTTTAGCACAAGTACACAGATACACACACCCACACACACACACACACTCTCTCTCTCTCTCTCTCTCTCTCTCTCTCTCTCTCTTTCTCTCTCTCTTTTTACACGAAAGTAACATAAACTATATAGTCAATAGTTTATTTATTTTAAGAGAATACGAATTGATTCCTATTTAAAGAGAAATTCTAGAAGAAACAAAGCTCTATAAAAATTTATCTATTATAATCTGTGAACCTATATAAGAAAAAAAAGACGACGCTATAATAGACATTGATTATTCTTGGAACAATATTTTTATTATATTTACTTATATTTTATTTCTTAATAATATAATAACAAGAGTATTCCCTATCTGTATTTATTAAAAATTCCTTGTAATTATCTACTAAATTCAAGTCTATAACTCAATAAAAGTAACATATAAATATATATATATAGTGACTCTCCAAGTATTAAGAAACGTTTTAATAGGAATTTAAAATATAAATCTGGAAAGTATAAAAAAGAGAAACAGGAAAGTTTAATATATCTTTCTTTCCTAAATAGTTCCAGTTATTCGAACTGGAATGAAATGTCTATTTTACCAGATAGTTTTAGAGCTTCCTAGACTTTTTACCAACTTGTTATTAGATAATGCTTCTCGAAATCGTCCGATTTCATTGTAATGACCGATTAGTACAGTTTAATTACATGGATTGGAATAAGTCCAATTCTCCTTTCACACCTCTTCGAGCACATTTAACAAATTAACAATTTACAAGTTTATATTTTACTATATAATATCTATAAATGTACTTATACTGTACATGTAGTACTTACTAAAGAACTTTTTGACCTAGATAAAAAAAAATCGATAAAAGAAAGAAAATGTTCTGGAATTGGATAAAAAAGAAATGTAAAAAAATTTGAATTTATACTTTCTTTAATAAGAACACGAATAATCATAGTTTTTAAGTAATAATCATGCAATTGTTGGTATGAAATCAAATAGTTTATGGAACATATTCCAATGAAAAAGAAAAAAAATAAGGCACGTCATTCACGAAACAGCTTTTTTAAGGGTGCCTTTATTCGCTAATGATCGATTTTCCTGCATGCTCCACATCAAAACGTGATAAATATTGCCCCGCTTTCATTTTTTACATTTATTAAAGTTTTATTAATCAAATATTCAAAGACATATGCTGAAATTTATTTATCTTTTTTATTAGATATTTTAATGTTATTGCAATTGCCATTAACTAAAACGTCTTCTCTAGGTATTGCTACTTTGAGTCTTTCTTTTTTTTTACCTTAAGCAAAAATCTATTTTTTTGATCATCATTCTGCTCTCTTTCCCTATGTCTGTCTATCTGTCTCTCTGTCTTTCTCTCTCTTCTCTCTCTTTCTCTCTCTATCTCTCTATATCTCTCTGCTTCTGTTCTCGCAATCTTCTACTCTTTGGTTGTCTTTTTTTTACACAATTCATCTTCTTTTTCTCTTCTTTTCTAAGATATAAAAGTATTAACATAAATGTATAATTCTTCTTCCCTTCAAAGGAATTACTAGATCAATATTTAAAAAAGAGATGAACATCTTTATGCAGGACTTGTACTTAAACATCTCTTTTAATATCTGACAAATCTTTGATACATAGATTTTACTATAGAATAATCAAGTTTTTAATAAGAAATATACAATGCTTTTAAAATATTTAAACATAAGCCAAAGAGAATTTTGATTGAAAATGTCTTTTAACCATCTATGCCAATAGAAATATTTTATGATTTTTCTCTTTTAAATCTCATACATTATTTAATAAGGATAGCTTAAGGCCACGCCGAAATACAAGTATGTAGTTGTAGGTATTAACTTGAAAGCTCCTAAAATGAATAGGTCATATTAAGTCATATTATTTTTATAATATATGGTATACCATACATATATATTTGTAATAATATGGTTCCCTTTCATAGAGAAAGAATAAATTTTTATTCGAATAACATATACGGAAATAAATGAAAATTACCTAATTAATTTACAATTAATTTTGAAGACTTGACAAGAAAAACCATGTTTTATTAGCGCCCTTTTAAATTGTCACTATAGTATATAGGATATACGTAAAATATAGAATTACGCTCTCTTTCAATGCTTATAACAAAGCAATAGAAAAAAAGTATGAAAAACTAGATGATCCAATATCATAAATTAAAAGGAAAGAAATATATTAGTTTTCTTTAAAAAGTGTTATTCAATTGATATGATGTAACTTGCAAAAAAATACTTTCTTATATTACAAAGATCATCAACTTTATTCTTGTCATTAAATTAAGAAAGTAAGTATCGTAATACTGCTATTGAGAAACCTTTTTCAACCATCATTAACTCAAATAGAGGACGCATAGCATTTATATCTTTATAGATATATACTGCACACATAAATATTACTAGTCTTAAAAAATTTTACGCATGCTTCTGTAAATCGATTACTTTCAGTTTCTTCTTCGATTAGCAGATAACTTACTGGATAGGGAATAAATCTATTCAGGAAAAAATTTTCTATAAAGCAGAAGAGAATAGACAAGGGAATTTAAAGTAGAAAATATCAATGTTTAATCCTTCTTATTAAAAACTTAATATCTGATTTATTAATTTAATTTCAACAAAAAATTAATTATAACTACGATATAAAATATAACTGTCTAATTATTATTTTTAACATCTCAAAAACTATATAACTATTTAAAGTGAAAATTTTATAGCTACTTACTACGTATGTAAAATCTTATCTACTTATTACTGATTTTAAAAAATGTCACTTCAGATGCCACCGCCATTTATTTATCTTTTAACTTTAAAACTAACAATTAAATTAATTGAAAAGTCAGTCTTTTCTATTTTATATATATATATATATTCTTGCCTTTTCCAATAGGAATTACGGAAAGAAGGACAAAAAACTGATTTGGTAGAGAACAGAATTCCCAAAATACACTTTCCTTACATATTAAGGTCCATATGTCATCAGTTGCGGTAGGCTTACTACTACAACTTCATTTTTTTGTGTCCATCAATATAAATATTAAACCAGTAAAATTAATGTACAAACAAACATTGACGAAATATAGCTATGTAAATAAGTATACAGAGTCTTTGTATACAAGCTGTATACAGTGATATATAACTCTTTTCTCATATGGGAAATTGCTTATATTAACAATTTTAAAGTATTTAGACTAACGTAATTCACAAATAAGAAAATATACACTGTATGTTTACAAAATATAAAAAAAACTGGTATTTTACAATATACACAGTAATTTACTTTTTCATTTCTATATAAAATGTCTTTTAGACAAAAAATTTGAAAGGAAGAGAAAGAAGAAAAGAGAAGAAAACTTTATTAATTAAACTCTTCGTTTAATATTGAAAGATTATATCAAACAAAACTTAATTCGGGTAACTCGGTACATCTACATTTTACAATTTGTAAGCAGTTGGAATAAAAACAAATAGAAAAAACGATTGAGCTTTCACAATCAATATAAATACAATAAATAAGCTTTCAATTCTACAGCTACTACTATAAAAGAATCACGCTGGTATGGTGAGTGCTTATATTGGAATTGAAGATGACGGTTTTATTGCTCTTTATAAACCGTATAACGATATGCAGTTATTCACTTTGTTTGTTATAATTTAATATCTTTTACTAAATTATTTGATTATTTTCCTCTTCTTACTAATTACTTACGTTTGAAGATTTGTATCAATATACTCACTTTCAAATTAAGTATAACAAAAAATTACTGTTTACGTATATATATATATATATATATATATTTATATATATATTTATATACTGTATGTACATGTATCAACAATATATTCGCCTACACTCTATTTGAACAGTACTAACCAATATGTTGTAACTCGAAGTTATTAATTATATCAATCATAAGAGTATATGTTTAGACTTCTATCATCAAAGACAAATTGTCAGACCTATAATTAAATGGTATTTAAAAAAATAAAACGACAGGAAAAATGAAGAGTGGGAAGAGGAAAAGAATATGTGAAAGGTATGAGTATTATTATATGAGTTTACAAAGTTGCATGCTTAGTTTGCATTGAGGTTGTGACTACATGCGTTTTCCATCACTAATTACTTGCAGTCGAATGGGTATCCGCCCTATTTCGCTTGATAAAAAAGAAAATTTTTATCATCTTAGTTGAGATTAAGTTTTATGAATAGATACTTAATCATTTTAAAATTATTGAATATAAAAAATATAGTGAAAAGAGTAAATTTTTTCTATAAATAACAACACAAAAACACAAAAGAAACAAAAGAAAAAAACAACATTAACAACAAAAAAAAAAAGAAAAGTATTTGTCGGATTCATTTTATTAATTTTATACCACTGAATTAAAGGAAATCCGCTCTGACTTACTGCTTTCTTCTCTCACCAAATAAACATAGACGCTTCCTTGAATTCATTCTGACATATCAAATGAGGAATAAAATTATAAACTTACGCATAAACTACGATTTATCGTCTTTTCTCCCTTCAATTTTTCTCTAACATATATTTAATATATTAATTATATTATATCCTACTTCAAATAAATACAATTGTATATATCATTTTATGTTTAATATAAACATAGTTGTAATCGAAGTCAAGTTTGTCTGTTTTCTATAAACTCCTTTGTAATCTATATAAGGTATATACATTTACATTCATATCGTATATTTTAAGGGCAATTTAAGCTTTATTACATTAACTCTTATACAATTATACTCTTTTAGTTCATTTATGTGCATTTCTTTTTTAAATAGATTCATTTTACATCATCTCTTTTAAGGTTTTCTTTTTAATTTAAGCATTAAAAGACACAATTACTTTACTTGTCAGTGCCTTTTCCGCTCCTTGAGTTCAACTTTATTAAATTATTAATGGTAATTCAAATTTTTTCTTTTAACTCTTCCTTCATAGATCCATTAGATGGCTCTGTAATGCTATTTTCAATGAATGAGGTAAAGGAAAAACAAAAATTTATTATCAAGATAACATATATTGACCGTAAGATGGCGCTATTAATCATTTTTTAATGAAAATTGAGCGCTATCTTTCTTTTTTTGGGTTTTTCAGATGAAATATCTAAACGAACTTTTATTTAAATTTCATGAAAGGATCAAAAAGGGAGAAAAGGTAAGAAGAAGAATCTTGAAAGTATATGAATTGTTTACTTTCAATTATTAAGGAACAGTAAAGTATATACCTTAATTATAAACAGAAAGAAAGAAAGCCTAAAGCAATCAATTTTAAACGACTTTCATGATAAAGTAAAAATAATAAAGAGTTGAAAAAGAAAAGGTGAGAAAGAGGATTGAAAACAATTTTCACCAATTACTTAGAAAGTGTGAACGGTCTGGAAAACGGGTGAAAAACTTGAATAACATTTGTTTTATATTCAATACTTGTTTCTTTTTTTTTGATTTATTAAGAAAAATAGAAAATGTTAATATTATACAACTTTTTTCAATTGATTAGAATTGCAATAAGCTGTAATCAAAATGTAAACAAAACATAGTATATAATTAAAAAATGAATAAATAATAGAATGTATAAATAGAGCCGTAAGCAAGAGAATTGAAAGGCAGCAAAAAAGAGTAAAAGCGTTGAAAATGGAAGTAGAAGATAGATCAGCAAAATTGGTTAATTGTTTGAAGTCATAATATTTTCCTTCTAACGTTATTCGATGTAAATATCTTCGGTCGGATGTGCATAAGTCATATATTGTTGATAGTACTTTTTAAAGGCATCACTAAAATACAGATTCATTCATATGAAATAAAATCTTTATCTTAAAATTAGAGATAATCATATCATACCCTATTGAATCGGCAACGCAATTCGTTGAGTCTTCTCCGTGGAAGACGTGGCAAGCAAATTTATGTTCTAAAGGATGTTTTGTGATGAAAGCGAAATAGCGGTCATTTTCAGGTAAGCATCCACAAAATGATAAATTCTTCAGAGAATATAAATGCTCTTCACTATCTCCGCGAACTTTGCTAAGTAATCTTTCTAAGCGGCGACGAACGTCGCTTGGAGATTCAGGAGGAGTTGATCCTGCCCTCTTTAATCGTCAAAGTAGTACTCATTAGCTATTTTATTTATTATCGGATAAAGAAACTCTTACTTTATCTAAATTAAGCATTCGGATGCCGTTTTCATTGACAATCAGCTTACAATTAGACGGCTTTGAGTTCATTTCCTTCCTAATAGCTACAACCTGTTTCAATAATAATAGTAATGATAATAATAATCTTAAGGCTTTGATAAGTTGAGTAACAACCTGAAGAATCGATTCTCTTAAGATATTTGTTCCGCGGTGCTGCTTCACCTCAACTGAACCATAATACTGCAGAAGAAACGCCCTGGATTTGATTGATGAACCATCTGGAATGTAAATATTCACTTTATATATTTATATGTATAAGTTGTATATTAATGTTTATTTATTAATTTACAGTATTTTTGAAAGCTTACCATACAACAAACTGAGATCTGTGACGTAAGCTGCAGGAAATATACCTTTCTTTCCAGTTGTTAAATTTATACCGACGCACCAAAGGTCTTTATCTTCTTCCTGAACGTGTAAAGAGTCTCCTATCTCTATAAAAAGCTCGTCTTCATGCTTAGGAATAAATTTATGGCATCCTCTGTGAGTTGGTTGGAGTTCTTCAATACCATTTAAAGTTGAGGCATCATCTGATTCGAATTTTTGTGAATTTTCTGGTAGGAAAGCTTCTGCTCGTGCTTTCTTCTCACTTTCCTCTGATGATGTCGAGCAAGTGCTTTTCTCTAAATCAGAATCTGCTGCCCTCCAAAGCGGATCAGCTTCTTGAAGTTCATCACCTAAACTTTTTGTTGTTAAATCTGAGTTTATTTTACTAGTAGATTTTAATTTATTTGTCGTCCTTCTAGGGGAATTCCTTGGGGAAACTCTTTCATAAGCGTCTAGTTCTTCATTTTGAGAATCATGGGTTAGCCTGACAAATAAAAAAATTGATTATAAATAGGAAGAAACGTATTCTACTCTAATATTTGTATATTGTTGTATTCTGCTTATATTTAGCAATCAAAGTATTCTTATTAAAAAGAAAAGATAGTATTCTCTAACCTATAACGATGTGGATTTACTGTTCCTGCGTTCATCTTCATTTTGCAGGCCACCAGCCCGAAATCAATAAACTTCAGACATTAGATAATTTATTTCAATTGCGCCATCTACCGGCTAATTGCCACTGTTTCTCCAAATATTAGGACCGAATTTAAAAAAAAATTAGATTTACGAATAGCGTCCCTTGAAATTTCAAAAGTTTCATTTTATTTATAAACTTTTCAACATATTATGAAAGGAAAAATTTCAAAATTTGTTTAATAAATCAAGTGTTTAGTATGAATTTTTTTACTGTATGAAGAATCGCTTGTTAGGTTAGAATTTGTCATTAGTAGTCGCTTTTTAATTAAGGGTGCACACATAATGAATAAATCTTCGGAATATTGGATTACCGGATTCTTCGCAGTGAGTATCTTCATTACTTGGTTGATATTCTGGTACTAAGACCTTAAATCCAACTCCTTCAAGTATTTTGATAGCGTCTTTCTTATTTAAACCCAATCCAACGGTATGTTCTTTGTTAAATTCGGCAGTTGGACCAAAACAAAATAAATCGTTAAATTTAGAAAATATTGTTGACACGTCACCAACGAAATCTCTGTCGAATCCATCAACGCCACCTTCAAATAGCGAAAAAGTTCCGTCCGGTTTCAAAACCTTCACAAACTGCTGCAAAGCTGTCATGGGCTTTTTCACATGATGCAACATCCTAGAAGCATGAACATAATCAAATTTTCCTGTCCATTCTTCAGGCAAAGCCAAAACGTCCGCAACTGAAAAGCTTACATTCTTTAATCCTAGTTCTTTGACCTCTTTATTGGCATCTTCAATGGCTTCTGCAAATGGATCAGCTCCTTGGAAAGTAGAATTGGGAAATTGTTTCGCCAAGGTTATGAACAAATGACCATTTCCACATCCAAGATCCAGAGCATTTATGCCTTTTTCTAGACGCTGAACTAAATTAGGAACACTTTCGTAAGTTTTTTTAACTTTGCTCCAGTCTGGAATTTTCGGATGAACGTGCTTATGGCCATGACCATGCTTACTTTTATGACCATGTCCATGTCCTTCACCTTCACCTTCACCTTCGCTTTCTGTACACATATATCACGTAATTATGTGAAAAAAAATTATCAAAAAAAATCCAACCTGCATTTGCTCTCATTCTTGCTGTATGAGGATCAAATTCGTAACCGTCCGGTCCATTAATTTTCATGCATGCAATTAATTTTGGCACCAACTTGCTGTACTCAGGTGTCATTAACATGAATTGTGTACCAAATCCATTTACCAAAGTTTTTTTTCGGTATTCAGGTAGAGTGTACTTTTCTGGTACCTCATTATTTATTGAGTCGATTATGCCTCCAGAAACCATTAAACTTAGCCATTCTTTCAAATAATGTTCTTTAACTTTGGCCTTTTGTCCCAATTCCTCACATGTGAATTTACCAGTACTTAATATTTCTAACAACTTCAGTTTGGATCCAATAACAATTCCCAGGCCTGTAAATGTTGAAGTCAAAATGCCGTTAATACGGTCGTCAAAAGCTTTCATTTTTCCATCATCATCTAAATTTGGAGAACAATCTGGATACGAAAGTTTATTCGACATGCTTGCTTTACGTTTTATGTTATTCGCTAAATGAAGGTAAAATAAATGACCGTATCTGAATTTATTTAATCAACTTACAAATTTCCGGTATTTATAAGCAAAAAATCAGTAAAACACACATTACAACACGTTTACCAGCTTTTTTGATAGCTAGGTTAGAGCTCCAGAGGAAAAATTATAGAAATAAATCAAAGAGGGAAGTCCGGATTTTTATTTGGGCGGCAAGATTAATTCTTTTAATTCTTTATCCAATTTAATTATATCAGAAAAGTTCACTTATCAATAGGATTAATAATAAAATTCAGTAAACAATTTATAGCATTATATAAATAATATTCACTTTTTCCTTCACTACAAAGAACTAGATTGGACATTTATAAAAAAAAAATCCCCAAATACTGTATATTCTAAAATTAACATACGATATATACTGTTTATATACTGTATATATATATATATATATATATATATATATATATATATATTGATATAGATATTTTAATATGCAAACAAGAAAGCAGAGAAAGTTAGTTGTTTTTGTTTTTTTAAAGAAACTCAGAAAGAAAATAAGTTAATTCTTTGGCTTGTCAGCTCTAAATACAGCCTCACGGAGATCGTTAACGTCCAAATGTCCGGCGGAAGCTCTTGCAATAGCACCTCGAACTGTTAACTGAGGTCCAACAGAACTTGGTCTTCTTACAGGGACAGTACCAATAACTATTTCCAATGGGACTTCTAACTCTTTCCCCGGACCTTTTGGGACGACGATAAGCTGTGATAGATTATAAAGAATTAATAGGTTAAAATCCAGCTTTAGGTAGTGAAATATGAAAAAAATTTTCAAAATATTTTTAGTCCAATGAAAATACACAAGAATATGAAATTCTGAAATATCTAGGCACCTATGTTTATTCAAGTGTCGCATAAGCAAAAAAGATATAATATGTTTATAGCAAATGTTTATACTTATACATAGGATGACTTGAAACAGTTACAGTCTATGTTCTATTTTTATATGATTTTCTTTCAATATTAAAAAAAATTCCAAGAAATTAAGCATTGTATTTACCGTTAGGATATAGCGAACATCGATAAACTTGCATCCAGCTCCTAAGTGGGATGGAACTACGGGCGGAATATCAGTTATCTCTCCAACCCAACTTTCAGTTCCCGCACCAATTTCTTTATTCCTTGAAACACCTTTGAGAGGTGTTGAATGTCGTCTGGTTTGTTTATCGGCCTTATAAATGACTTGTTGGCTGAGAATAATTCGTGCTGATTTTACTCTCGCTCCACTCTCATTTTTGATAATAGCTGTAAAGGGCACAGATAGGCCCGGGGCAGTAGACCGCCTATCAACAGATAAGGAAGCGGATATTCGTCCTGATTTAAAACAAAATAGACCCGGTGTTGTTTCGCCAGCATTCTCAGCTGCTTTCTGTTAAAGATCATCATCTTAAGTTATATCTCTTTATATATATTTATGCAATAAGAAAATAATACTTAAAAAAAATCAAAACTGTTATATTGTGAAGCTATTACACTGTAATCACAGTTTTCAAGATGACCTTATAAACATTCATCTTACAAAACTTTGGTTATCATGGCTATCTGTAGTCTTTCCAAGCATCTCAACAGGTTTTAAATTTCTCAAGACCTAACGTACGTCCAAAACAAACAAATCGACTACTATTTACTCTAGATCAAGTTTTTTCACTTGCACTTTTCTTAAACGTATATAAAATAAATCCTTTGTTTTCAATCATACTCTATTAATATTACAAAAAACAAAAACAAAATTCTAGTATTCACCTTTGCATCAGGATCAGCATTCAAATCCAAAATGCCTTTTACATTGAATGCCTTTACTGCTTCAATGTTGTCCTTCCCGAAGGGTCTCTCTATAACCACTTTTGCCCAGTATTGAACTCTCCCGAACTGGCCGTCGAAAGAGGCTGGAGCAAATGGAGGTAGTCTAACTTTGAAACGATGCGTATGTTTTCCACTTGGAAGATGACCGTCTGGTCTACATAAAATTATCGTTTCGTCCATATATATTTCAGCATCTTTGTGGGATAAAGTACTGGCCGAGCCCTTTGTATATGCCCTTTTCTCATCCCAATGACACCTTGCTAAACCATGTATGTTAAGCTTGATAGCTGTTTTGGCGTTGAAGATTATCAGATTATTTAAAGCTATGTATGTATTTTTTTGAAGGAGAAATTCATAAATTCCACATTCAAAAGATAATATTTAATTAACCTACAAAAATTAGGTGGTAATTAGAAAATTTACAGAATCAAGACTTTGAAGGCCAATTGCTTTTATTCAGTTGATTTTTCCACGAAATACTGGCATTATGGCACTTTAATGAGCCTACGAGTAACTTTTTGCAGATGTTATTTTCGTCTTTATTTCCTTCGTGACGTCATCATCTTCCTCAAAGTATGTAATTAGCATTTAGTTATATGAACAATACAAAAAGTAGCAGTATAAAATCTCATATCAATTATTACACCACTTCAATGTTTCTTTTTTTTTCTTTTTTTTATCTCATAAAAAGTATTAATCAACTCAACGAAAAAAGGAAATTAGTTGGAAAAGATGAAACACTATTATAGCTATTACCTTTTGCTTTAATATCTGAGTTTGTAACGATTACAACTCCTCCTGAAACCTCGCCACCAGCTGAAAAAGTAGCTGAAGCTTCGGAGAAGAATATCTCCAATACACGTACGTCCTTCGCCATACTGCAACTGGCCAAAACAACACCGCAACAGCAGCGGCGCGCAACCGATCAAAAAATAAAAGGCCTGCCTTAGAAAATGCTTCGCACCTGCTTATAACTTGTGTGAATTTTTCAGATCGTCTTTCCATGAAAACTAAATTTATTATACGGCATTCTTGACTAGGGCAGGCTTATCTGTCAATTAAGTTTTCACAAAATTTCATTACATAGGCTTAGAGTAACTGCAAACTCTTAAGTTTCCTACACAATAACCTATTCCAGCACATTCTCCGTATATTTATTTATAAATATGCTTCTATATATACTGTATATATATATATATATGTTTGTATGTGTATGTGTATGTCACGTGATATACAGCTTATTTCATATTTTTGCAAATAAATTGCTTTAAGAACTACTTAACATACTCGTATACGAAGATACCCTCTTCAAATATATATATATACAAAGTATGGCAATAAATTAAATACTAATATGTTCTTTTCAACAGAGAAAAGTTTAACTTGTAACATCAATAAAGCCTATATCAAACGATTACTGGAATAGGGAAATCGTTCTCTGTTTAACGTAGTATATACAAGTAATCAATCAGTACAGTGCACTCTTCATACTTCTCTTAACAAATTTTATAAACTATATGTTACCACTTATCACTTAAAATTATATGATTAATGTCCATTACTTTGCGAGAAGGTAAAGTTCAAAAAGAAAACTTTAATCACAATAAGAATTTTGAACTTAATAAAATCAAAAATTGCTTAAGAGAGTATTTCCATGAATCAGCTTTTAAGCTAAGTACAACCTCAAGTACACTTATTCTTAGTTGCTGCAGTTTTTAATAACAATAAGGAATGAAAACGTAATATTTAAATAATAGAAATCTTCAAAATCATAGTAATATAAGAGGAAAAAGAATAGATAAGCTTTGTTTCCCTCTCCCTTCCCCCTCCCTTCCCTCAATTGATAGTTTGCTTGTAAATAGTAGATAAGCTTGTGAGAAAAAAACCCTAGTATCTTTTTCTTTTAAATATGTAATTAGATAAATAAAGACTCAACTGATTGACTTCAATTTTAATCCAAGTGCATAGATAATTTTAATCTGTAAGATCTTCTTTCAAAGTCTAACATTATTTCTCTTTTACAATATTACAGTTAACAGAAGGAGAAAAAAGAGAGTAATGCTACAGATTGTTTTTAATGTATACTACGAGTATACAGCCCATACGTATTATATATATATATGTGTATTATAACCTTTAGATTTCAATTTATTGCTAGCTCAAGAGAATGGAAATCCCAAAAGAAAAAACATAAGAAAAAAAAAACAAAACAAAATATAAAAAACAAGATTGTAAAACTCTACCTGAACACATCAGACCAATGAGAGAAAAGATTAACAAAACATTTGGTGTTAAATTCTAAGGCTTTGTTTTTATTTTAACTCTTTTCTATTATGCCTGTTTATTCTAAGTTTGTTGGAAAATCAACTTTTTTTCTTTAAAAAGTTTCACAGCAGTTAAAATTAACTAATCACCTAATAAATAAACTTTATTTAAAAAAAAATATATGTGAAGGCCTATAATATGGAATATATTTATTGCCAACGCCCTGTAATCCGAATCAGGCCAGATGAGTGGGTATTAATATTTCCTGCGTATATTTTACGAATTTTAATTATAATCTGGTTGTTTCCTTTTGCCTTAAACTTTCATTTAATATCGATACGTTGGTGTTTATTTATATAAAGTAAGAGAGAAAGTAATGTATTAGGCCATTTTAGAAATTATTTAAATTTTACTTTTTAAAGAGAAATTGAAAAATGTTTAACTAGAAAAGTTTAGAAGACTGTGGATGGAAGAAGATAAAATATCGATAAGAAGTTACTCAGTCCATTAGGCTTTAACTCAAAAAAATTAGTTTATCGTATAGGCTGATGTTCTAAGGAAAACAGATTTCTTATTGCAATTCGGATATTTGGAAGGTAATGTGTTGTAAACAAATTTTCTCTTTACACCTAAGGAAGTGCAACTTTCAGGTTTTTATAATCAAATTATGTATCTGAATGAGTCGCTAGAGGGAGCTATTTATCCTTAGTAAGTTTTGTAATAGACTCATCTCAAAATAGCGTAATAAATAATAATAAATGAATATACAAGAAAATATAAATTGTTTATAGGCAAAGGATAAATAACATATGTATCCTTTTTACCTAATTCTCTTTACTATCTTAAGGAAAAACTCTTTCTAAACGTTCGTAGTTGAAATAAAAGTAAGTCTAGCATAGATTCCCTCTTTTTCTATTTACCCAATATGTATTATGTAACCAATTAAGTTAATTTTTTACTTAAATTAACAATTAAAAAAATCTCAATAGTATTTCATAAAAATTAAGCTATTTTCTCTTTCTCATTGTTGTAGTTATGTTTCGGAATGGTAAAAGTTTATGAACAAAGCTGGTAAGTCTTCTTTAAACTCTGTTTTCCAAGGCTCTAAGCATTGACGAGATTTGAAGTATAACAACATGAATATCTGGTCTGTCTTCGGCGTTAATATGAAGCATATCATTAATTAGACGCTTTAACCCGTCGGAATATGGCCAATCAGTCGGAAATTTTATTCGTCCAGCAAGAACAGCTAGAGCAATACTATCTCCCTTGCAATATGTTTCATCAAAAGGAGATTCTCCACAGCATATAGCATAGAGTGTACATCCCAAAGACCAAATGTCGGTTTTCTCGCTTATTCCACTGCCGATTTGCACGTTGAATAGTTCTGGGGGTCTGATGGGGTTAGGCACGTTCTGGAAGTTATTGATCGAACTCGAAAGAACAGAAAGAGCCAGAGAAATATTTGATATTTTCAGTTTTAATCATTCTCTGACTCTCTCTTTCTTTCCAACCCTTTCCTATCTAATTATAAAAAATATTCTGATAATTTTAGTACTTAGAAAAGATTATGTAAAAAAAGATTATTATTTTGGGGAAATATTTCTCATAAAGTCTTTTGCAAATCTCTTCAACTGGTATATTCTTAGCCACAGGTGCCAAAACATATTTTCTTTACTTGTTTATTTGAAATCTTTCAACTTAATTTCCCAAACCATTTTTATAAATATTTCGTGTTTAACTATTTTTAGTGCGGCAACACCTGAAAATTATACTCATAGATTTCGTGTTTTGTGTTACACAAATAGGAAAGGGTCGTTTCTAATTAATTATTAAATATTTATGTTTTCCAGAACGCTACCTATAAGGCATTGAGCATCTCTCGTTTACTTCATCTTGAATCACAAGAGCTTGCCGACTGTTGTCGATGACAGGTCTGGAAAGAGCAGCTGATCCTAAATCCATTAAAATCGCCTCCTCTTCGTCAGTTAGTAGAACGTTATGGGGTTTCAAGTCTCTGTGTGCTACAGAAGGATTCAAAGTATGTAAGGCGCAAACACCCTCGCATATCTGTTCAAATAATGAGAGAACTTCCACTTCACCAAGAAATTCTCCTCTTTTTCTTATCCTTAATACATGATCGAATAGAGTGCCCCTACGATAGAAAGGCATGACTAATAAGGCCTCGGATTGAGGAGAGTTTGGTCCTTGATAACCTGAAAGTTTTTTTACAATTGTATATTAATGTAAAAAAAATTCAATTCGCTAATATAAACTAAAGATACCCTTAAATGGCACTAATTCCGAACATTCCAGTGAAATTATTCGTTCATGCTTTACCCGTTTCATAAAATCAATTTCCTTTGCAGCTATCTCTTCATCCTTTACATTGTGACAATTAATACGTTTCAAAGCGAATAAATTGGAATTATCATCTTCAATCAAATCAATCCGACTGAATCCCCCTTCAGCTAAATGTGATCTGATGTAAAACTTTCTATTGTCGACATATATCGTTTCTTTACCACAAATACAACCCATAGATAACCTCTTCAACAGCTGCCACATTCGAAATTTGGAATAGTTATTGGCGCGTTTTTATATTCTATAATTTATTTGTTTCGATCGAATTGAAAGAACCGCCCAAAATTATGTGTCGACCGTTTAGTATGGTTTCAATTCCGATTTCTGTTAAAAGAAAGTTTCTTTAAAAGTCTATTACTTCTTTCCTAGCAATTCACAGAACTAACTTGATTAATATCTAAAAAATGATTTTATGTTAAAAATAACTAATAAAGCCTATGCAAATATAAACAAGATATTATTTCTATTACATAAATCCCTTCTTTTTTTTTATAAAAAGAAACCAACTAAAACCAAGGCGAACATAATTGGAAGCGGTTTCAGAGATAAGAAACAACTAACAATGTAGCCATAATTACTTTCTGAGAAAGATTTCCTTAGTTATTTCAGATTAGTCTTATCAACATTCTACAGCTAAAGTTAATCCATACAATTTCTTGACTTTTTTAATTAGACAGTATTTCTTTTCAATAATTGGATATCAAAATTGGTTCTCCAGAGAATCATCCAGTAAAAGAAAAAACCCTTACCAATAAATTATAAGATAACCTATTGAAAAAAGATATTTATCTACTAAACAAAACTGGAAAAAGAAAATTGATTAAAAATAACTTTATTCCAGTAATTAACTAGATTAAATATGTGAAACAACTAAATAGTTTAAATGTATTTTGCACTTGATAATCTAAAAAGATATTATTCCTTAGCAGTTAGAAAATAGCAACATATTAATAGACTAGTCAAATTTGAACAGCTATTAATAAAATTGTTTAACTAGTAAAAAATAGCCTACTAACACTTTTCTATTAAGAGAAGAAAGTAAGAGTAGAAAATAATCAAGAATTGAAAGAATATACACTTCTTTTTATCTTTGTATACCGTATTCTGAATATTAAAAGCTATAGGAATAATAAATAGATCAAGAAATCTTAGCATTCTAGAATGTTTATTGAGTGTTGAGGAAAATTTTACTAAGCCTATTAAAATTTTTGATATTAGATCATTTTTTTTCTTTTATTAAAATAATAGGTAAAATGCTACTATAAGAACAATAGAAAATTTGTAATAAATATGCTACTAATTAATTATTTTAACAATAGGGAAAGAGGAAATTGAAGAAAGTTCGATAGCACTTTATTCGAAACTTGTTTTCCATCTATAAAAAACCTTTCAAGTTCACGTCATAATTACCTGGTCAACAAGGCCCTACGATACTAATCTCTAAGTACTCGATAAAATCCCAATTGTGTATTCAATGGATTGGCCTGTATACAACTATTAAGCGCATTTGCGAGTTTTAGAAGTATGAACGAAAACTCTGATCTACCTCCGATCTCTTCTTTGAAAAATGCTTTAGCAAGACGTCACATAGCCGCTGGTATCCCATACAGTCTTCCAGTTGATCACGGGAAACACTCGGCTGAAACTTTTTATCGGACGGATTTAAGGGCCACCTTCCGCTATCCGTACTTTGAACAGGTAAGGAATACGAAAAATTAATTTTCTCTTCTGGTAAATAATCTAAAAACAAAATATATTACAATATCAAATTCCTTTCATTAAAAAAAGGCTCATGACTTCAATGAGGAAATTCTTCTATCATCTAAGAAACATCACCTAAAGACTAATGTTCCGTTTCAACTATTTCGAGCGACGAGACAAAAGAAATCACTTAACATGAAAAGCGATGAGGTTTTACGCTCCTATTCAAGTCTGTCACCCAAAACTTTGAAAGAGAAACGAAAAAGGTCTATTCTCTATCTCCCTTTGAAACAGCTGGCTCATAAGGAATCGGAAACCTTAAAGAAACAAGCACTTGATATTGTTAAATCTATCGAAATAGAAAAATTACAAATATCGCCTCCTAGTACCGCAATTCGTCAACAGCGTTACTCCAATAGTTTTGATATAGGAGATAGTCAGCAAAACAAATATAAAAGGAAGAAATTTATTAACAGTTTAGAAAGGGCATCAACAGCTCCTGATTTCAAAAATATACCAGAAGAATTTCAATCTAGACCGAACTCTACACAGATTTGGGAATGGCTACAAAGTTCTGCAAGAGTTCAATCACCTTTTTCGTTCTTTTTAGATACCGTTTGTAGTATTACAGAAACTTGAGAAATATTGTTTTTTTTTTCATTTCATTTCACTTTAATAAAGTTAAAATTAACTATGAAATTGCTTTAAAACCTTAAGAACCTTTCTGTGTTCTAGACTTTATTTCTTGGATAAGCTTTTTTTCTTTTTGTATGATAATGGGTTAAAATGATAGTTACCAAATCTTCCTTTGTGTTTTTAATGATTAAAACGGTAAATACATGGATTTATTTTTAAAGAATGCTACAATAACAATAAAAATGGGAGTGTTGTTAAAAATTATATCATAGGCCTAAGTAATTGTATTTTATATTTTATAGTAAATAGATGTCGCTAGCCCCCTTTTAAAAAAAATTAGGACCGCAGACGAAAATGTTACAGCTATTGAGTTAAGGTTGTAGTAAGTTTTAGAAGAAATAACTTAAAAGATTTATAGAGTTATCAATATATTCTAACAGACTTTGTATTTTAATAAAAAGTAAAAGAGTAAAAGAAACTTGGAACATTTTTCTTTATAAAAAATAAAGTTTCCATAAAGTTAAATAGTTAAATATAAAGAAATTTATAAATTACCATTGGTCAATACAATCTAAAGTTAAGTTGTTTAATAGTAATATTGTTGAAAAATTTCTAACAATTCATACTAAACTAGAATAATTCCAAACTATTTCTATATTCAATACTGTTAAAACATAATTTAAATATTATATAAAACTATAAAATATGATAATTTTTTCACATCATAAAAAGACTATAATTTATAAGATAAAGCAATTTTTTTGTAACAATAAAATAGAATAGAAAGAGATAGATAAAAAAAAGCCTAATAAAGATGAAATTTTTCATTTTTATTTTATTTTTTTTGGTTGTTTTTTGATTTTTATTAAGCACTAATAAATTCCTAAAAATCACACAAAAAATAAGAGAAAATGTTTTAGAAATGGGTTATTTTTTTCTTTGGAGATAATATTTAAGTGAAAAATAGTACGGACATTTTTTTTTTGATATGCTCTTTAAAAAGTCTCCTTTTCTTTCAATTGTTATTTAAAAGCACCAGAGTTAAATAAGAAACATTCGTCAATTTTTCAAAAACAAACAAAATTTTTAAAGGGAATTTCTTTTCTCTTTTAGGATATACATTCTTCGTTTAAATTAATCTTTAAATTCTTTAATCGTTCTTCTTGTCTTCTTTAGGTTTATCTGCTTTGGCGTATTGCTTACTATCCTCTTTTTTGTCGGTCTTTGTTGTTGCTTTCTATTTAGTTTAAAATTTAGAAAAATTTAATATTTCATTGATATAGCATGGAATAGTATGTTTAACCTTTAAAGCATCCCATACTCCACCCATGAAGATATTGCAAAATAAATTCTCAAATGGGGCAAAAGGATCTTGTATATCCACAATCAGGGCAGATAAACGAAAGTAGATAAAGAATAGTACTACTGTAAAGTAAAGTGTTGGATGAGGTAGTTGGGGAATCATGTTCAATCTCTCGCAAAGGAAGACGATTGAAGCAACCACACTTGATTTTGTCGCGCTATTGAAAGGGGATAGAAATTATAATGGTATATATATATATATATCTATATATGTAGTACAAAAAAATACGCTTTATAACATAACAAAAAAATAAGAGTTTTTTTCAGAATTTAAAAGAAATTTCAATCTTCTTTATCAAGTGGTTATATAATTATTGCAATATATTTTTTAGTAATATATCCAATATTTAAATTATTCGTTAAGATTATTCAATGAAAGTCGTGCATCTTTCAATACTTCATTTTAGTATAATCTAATTTTTATCTTTCCCTGAGAATATTATAATTGACAATGGCATTTTCCTTTAACTTCAAAGCAAATCAAAAAATCAATATTTTGTTCATAAAATTAAAATAATATTATCTGTTTTATCTATTTAAACATCTAAATCAATAAAAATACATTATGTGCAGAATATATCTCTGCACAAAAAATCAAATCAAAGATGTTTGTAGCATTCATTAGTTAAAGATATTTATATGTCTAATAACATGACTAATTACAATTATTGCAGTGCGTACTCACAAAGATGGCTGTAACATTTCGTGAGTAGAAGGAATCCATATTCCTCGAATTAAACGTTCAAACATTCGCATATAGTAATAACCGGCACCTATTACGCGTTAAAATTGATTTTCTTTAATCGAAAAAGTCAAATTAGCCAAAAAAATAAATGGTCTAAGGAAGGACTGAGTAACAACAAACATCAAAATCATTCAAAGAGAAAGTAGGTTCATCGTGCATAATATATACAGTATATATATATATAAATTTTCCTCAGAGTTCAAATCAAACTTTGAAATTGGACACTTTTACCCTCTATATGCTACAGTATCATTCATTAAGAGCAAATTATATTGGCTACAGTATCCTAAAACGTTTCAATTTTTTTTCGAACTTCATAGATCATATATTATGCGTAGATTAGAACCAAATGCGCTAAAAAATACTCACAAGGAAGGTGATAACCATTCTGTCTTATCGTGGGGTTTCCAAATACCAGCAGCTAATCTTGCAACGGGTCTCATCAGAGATGATCCCGCTCCTAATAAACAAATAAACTAACTACAAAACACGAACTACTATAAAAAGAAATCAAGACATGACACTTGCAAGATTAGTGGGAGCACTTTTATATGCTAATTATTGAGGACTACTTGAAGAGTTAACTAACCTTTAACAACGCCTAAAATTACTATGACCACATAAGCTCCGGGATAAGCCTTAAAAGCATAAGCCACTCCATGATGAATTTTATGTACTCTCTGTACTTCTTTTGCACACATAACAACCCATTTTATAGGTGAAAATTTCGTCATTTTATAAATAATATCAAATGGAGAATAATTAATGCAGTACCTAGAAAAAAGAAATAGATAATCATATTATGTATAATTAAATTAATAAAACAAAATTCAAAATTCCATCTAGAAGAGTGGAAGAAAATTATTTCGAGATAAATAAAAGGAGAGACTTAAGTAGTTTTTTATTACGTTGATAGAAAATAATAAGTTATGTCTAAATCAAATCTTATGAAAATATCATACCAGACTGCGGTTGCCGTTAACAAATCGGTATGATTTTTAAAAGGGGTAATAACCGGTTCACCAACAAGAAAATTTCCCAAAATGGATCCCGCAAAACACAAAACCATAGACGCAACCCAACAAGCCAATGGATGTTTTCTCGAAAAGAGAGGAGCTGTAGAAACGAAAAAGTAGATCGTATAAAAACAAAAGTTGCAGCTGGGGCAGGTGTTGTTCGTACGCGTAAATAGGTCAAGAAATTTAAATTTTATACTATGAACTATGTTAAATATCTATTATAAGGGGTTATTAATGTGATAAGAATGTTTATACAAGCTTTAATGCTATGTAAACTTAGGGAGGGCTATAATTTATCGGGTAAAAAGCATTTAAGGGAAAGTTATTTTTTCCATCAAAGAGAAATTAATTAGATACTCGTCAAGAATCAAAAATAAGTATAAAAACTTTTTAAATCTCCCTTAACGTACAATTATTGCCAGATCCAGGCTGGGGGTGGTTATCTTCACGAACTATTATACACATAAGTATATAGTTTGCAATGTCGAAATATGGATACATTTTCAACTTTGCAACGATCGTTGCGTATTCCATTAACTTTTGCTGATCCATTTTTATACTTTAGTAATGTTAATATGATGTAAAAAATGATATAATTCGGTGAATTTAGTGGCCTTTGCTGCTTTCCGGTCAAGGTGAATGCGCATGCGTAAACCTACAGATATTTTCGTACTTCATGTTTTTCCTCAGTGAAAGTAATTTTTATCCATGCATTTCAAGATTTTGCCGTCTGATTAACACTGAAGGATATTTTTGGAACGATTATTGGAAAATATTTTCAAATATTTAAACTTTACGAAAATCATATCCCGGAAGTTGTAAAGTTGAGCGTTTGTTTTTGTTTCCATTCATTTGTAGTCATTTTTCAAAGGGCAATTTCTTGTCTCTGTCCACCAAAATCATGCAAATAAACGACCTAATAGCGGATATGAAGGTTAGTTATCGATATAATAAAAAATTAATCATTTTTGTTAATGTAACGTCCACAATTCACAGAATTTGTCTGCCTTTATTCAATCTGATCAAAAATTTGAGGCGAAAATCACGAACAGTATCACAAAAATAAAGACATATATATCTAATAAAGAGCAGAAAAGGCACGCAGATGCCTCAGCAATACAAAATTCCGTGGAAAGGTTGATGAAATTAAGCTTCGAGGCCCATCAGCGGAAATTACTAGTTCAGGTTGGCGGTTTACGTGTCCTGGTAGATCTCCTACGAGCTGAATGTCAACTTGTTGGTATAATCACTACCAACGAACATAATTTATTGATCAGACGTTACTGTTGTATGGCCTTGACAAATTTAACGTATGGTGATCCTGCTATTAAATATTGGCTTTGCTGCGACGATCTTAAACATGCTTTAACCTCACTCCTTGACCTATTGAAATCTACAAACGACGATCTACGTCAAGCTGTCTCTTGTGTTATGCGAAACTTGTGCTGGAAAGTAGATGGGGCTTCTAAGTTAGCCCTTCAAGAGTCTGGGTGCATTAAATGTCTTATGCTATCTGCCATGTCTGAATCGAATGAAAATACCCTTAAAGCTATGTTGGCTGCGTTATGGAATGTTAGTGCTCACTCTAAGCAGAATAAGAAAGATATCTGTGAACTAGATGGCTCTCTCAAATTTTTGGTGAAAACAATCGCGCACACTAATAAAAAAATTGTGGAAAATAGCGGTGGAATACTTCGTAATATATCAAGTCAGATAGCTCTTAATAACACATACAGAACTACACTAAGAAATAGCGGCGCTCTCTCAGCCCTTATTAATAACCTTCATTCCTCTAATGATATAATAATGAGTAATGCCTGTGGCACTCTTTGGAATCTATCTGCTAGATGTCCACTTGATCAGCGGACACTAATAAGTTTAGGTGCAAAACCTATTCTAGAAAAGTTGACAGCAAGTTCTCACCGCATGATATCAAGAGCCTCAACCGCAGTCCTGAAGAATTTAGCAAAAATGGAGCCAAAATCGAAAACGTCATCTTACGCTCCAGCAAATCTTGAAAGTTTCCCAGAACCTCAAGATAGTGTCGTTAGCTTTCATTTAGAGGGAACACCACCTCTAACTCGAAATCATTCTTTACAAAATATTATTCCAAATCAGCATCATATAGCAGAATCAATAAATGAAGTTCCGATGAAATACGAAGTTGAAGACACACCAATTATAATATCAAGAGTGTCTTCCCTTAGTTCCCTGCAGGCCCATACAGAAGATCCATCAAAGAAATCTAGTGTAAAGAATGTTCCTTTTGAACAGACCCCTTTAATGTATAGTCGAACCTCATCTCTACAGTCATTAAAAGATTATGAGGATATCAGTAGTGTTAACTCGGATGTTATTAGCATCTATAGTCATTCAAGGGAGAGCGAAATGGTGAGTCCAGCTGACTTACCAGATTCACCTTCGGACGTGTCAGCAACAACTACCACGAATATTATATCTGCTTCAACAGAAAATAGGGAGGATGAAGACAAACCTAAAATGTGGGCCGATGAAGGAGATGTTGAAACAACATCTGCCTTATCGGCATTAACAATCGATTCTAATCCTATTAGTAATTGTCCCCTATCGCTACCAGCCGCCATTATTAAAGAGAGTCTTTCAAATCGTATAGCTGCTAGTGATCCTGGTGTTCCTAACAAGGAACAAGAAGAAGATGCATCAGACTCAAGTCTCTCCGGTTAGTAAGACTTTAAACTATTCCCTGGTTGTTTGAAAGTCGTGTTTATTATTCTAAATTCCCTTCCAATTCATTTGGAAAAGATTGAAACTTTGAAGATAAACGCGAGAAAATAGAAAACCTTTTAAATTAAACTTTTGGGAATTTTACTCCTCTCTGTTTTCTATGATTGCATAACATTTGTTTATTTAAGAGATCTAGGCTTTCGACGAAAAGCTTTTCCTATGTTAACTTATCCGCATTTAATTGCAGGAGAGGAAGAGGACGCTGAACTTTTACAACAAGTTATAGATTCCGCTTTACCTAAAACAAGACCAAGATCCGAACCAAGTTCGTCTAAAGATCGCGATGGATTATTTAAAAAGCCAATAGGAATGCCACCAAAATCAAAAGCCCGAAGACCGTTAAACGTGTGAAGAGAGAAGGAACGTTAGAATTTTTTTTAAAAAAAAACTGTTTTTATCGTTGATAGCTTTCTACATTGTGTAATTTTTTTTATTTCTCTTTTTGTATTTTAATCATTTTCTCTCATTGTTTAGTCTTCAAAATTTGTCATCATTATTTTTTTTTTAGCTTTTTTTCATTGATTTTTTTTATTCTTGACCCCAACCTAATTATTTTGTTTTTTCTTTTAATATCTACTTGAACAGTAAAGTTTTCAAGAAGATTTAAAAAAAAACTGATTGCTGCAAAGTTAGGGGAATAAATGGAACGATTATTGATTATAAGCTCTTTTGAGACATTGTAAATAAGTCAGACTGAGAGTAAGATATTATTTATTAGTTTAATTTCATAAATAGCACTTTTATGAGTTGTTTAAAAAATAGACTTTAAGAGGTTTCATATGCTTGAAAGGACCAAAGACCTCTACAATGAAGCTTACGTTATCACAGTATATAAAAAAATACAGATATTAACTGATAAAAAACTATTTACAAATTTTAATTCGTTATACAGAAGTTTCAAATTGTCATAATTGTGTACTATCACCATTTCTCTGCTCTTTTTCGTTAGATTCACCGAGGAAAAATCCCCCATTTTTGTTACCATTTCCATCTATTGATGCTGAGCTAGACACCTTGGTCATAGGTTTAGTTATTGCAGGCAATACTGTTGCACCACTTAGAGAATTATTATTATTTGTGCTTGGCTCCAGTTCTGGTTTCACTTCGGCCAAATTTACACTACTTCTTCTTCGGTTCTTAAATGAATTGAGTGTTAGAATTAGTGTTATATCTCGAATTTGATTTGTTTAACTAACCAAGTATTTGATATCTAATTTCTTTAACTCATTTACGTTGATACCTTCAAGAATATCTTGTTTGGAGGAATTTCTACGTTCCTTCATTCTAGATTTAAACTCAGTTTTCTCTTCTATTTGCACCTTTAACGTCCAGGCCTGAACATCTTCTATAACTTCTGGTAAAGGCCTATTAACAGTGTCTGGTAAAAATAAAACCAAGACGGCTGCAACTAGTGCTGTAGCGGCGAAGATTGTGCCAACTAGCCAAGGATGATCTTCTGTCTATGTTTTATAGCTGATAATAAAAAAAGATTAAGCACAAGAAGCGTATTGAAACTTACAGCTATCCCAATATAGGGCGCTACTAGACCAGCCACCAGACCAAGAACAAAACATAAAGCAACTCCAACATTGCGATGAGTGGTTGGATTCAGTTCAGAGGAATAAAACATCATATTTAGAAACACTCCTCCAATTCCTAATTTACCAACCATGGCAAAGACTGTAGTAATTGTAGCTTTATTTTCATAATCTGACAATTGTATAAGACTCATTATTAATAGCCCTGCTGCACCCACAACGAATAAGCCACAGATTACGTAACGTCTGCCAAATCTAAAATGATAGGTAATGTAAATATTAACTCTTTGCGAGAGAAACAAAAACTAGTTATACCTTGGTAAAAGAAACAAACAAATAAAAACAGCAGGAATTTCTACAGCAGAGTTGATAAAGAAGTTTAAATATGGATTTCCACCCAAACTGGAGGTACCAAAAGCCAAACCGAAATAGCATAAATTTGTAGAAATCCTATCAAGAAAAACAGTTTACTGATGGATTTACACGAGTTAACAAAAATCAAACCATAAGAAAAATTGAATAAAGGTGTAACGCCTAACTTTTGGTGCGTAAAGAATAGCCAGTGGACTTGAATATTTACTTTGAAGGACTTCTTTTTGTTCTTCTTCGGGTCTCTCATTTACTTTTGCAATCGCTTCGTCGAAATGACGAAAGTTAACTGGTACTTTGTTAACTCTGCCAGCTCTTTGGAAAATTTTTCTGACTTGCTCAAAACGGCCTTTAGCAATTAACCATTGAATGGATTCAGGCATGTACCTTTAATTATAACAAGATCTTTTGGTTACTTTATTGAAAACTGGAAAATATACTAGAACCTAACCATATATAGGGAATAGTAAGGACCACTGGTCCAGCTACTATGAATAGAAGATGATTCCATCTCTGCGTTGCATAAGCCATACCTGCCATTATCATATTGCTAAGAGAATAAAAAATTTGAACAAAAACCCCTGCCGATACTCTTTGATCGGCTGGCCAAAGTTCGCAGGCCAATACCATTCCGGAGGACATAATACCCTGATGATGGTTAATAGTCAGTATGTTTGAGAAAATAACAAAGCAGTTACCTGAAAGAAAAATCCTCTAAAAAAAGATAAAGCGTGGAAAACTTTAATATTTGGAGAGAATCCTTGTCCAACACACACACAAGCAGTTATCCAATTACATATTAAAAAGTAAGGCTTCCTTCCTACAAATTCTCCTATAGGTGTAAGAATAAAAGAGCCAGCTAATGCACCAATTATCGCATATGTGAACGTTAATTCAATCTGAATTTTATCATCGCAGAACAGATTAAACTGCAAAATTGATATAAATAATAGATTAAATGATTATTATTATTATTAATAACGTTGAATTAACAAACTTCTGTCTCGATACTAGTTTTAAAATCCTTTTCATGAACTGTATACGATTTATTGGGACAGTCAATTGGGTTGTTCGTATCGAAGTCGAATTTACCACCAACTCGCTTATAACTGAATATCTGGCATTGGCTAAACTCTAGATCACCATCAATATTTTCTTCCAAAGGTATTGTCAAATTGGAAATAGTAGCTCCATCCGGTAATTCGCAGGTAACATTTGTCGATCTCATTCCTGGATTTTTATAAACAGATGTATTTAAACAACTAAATTGACGAATTGATAAAAAAAATTATACCTGCAAATACAAGAAGAAAAGTATGCCATCCTCCTGGAAAATTAAATCCAGCACAGATAAGTGAAAAAGTTATTATTTGCCATAAGCCGTAGCGACCTAATTGCATAAGAAGATTTTCTACAACTTCGATCATGATTTCAGAATGATGTATTCGATATTATCAGTTGAGTTTAAATATATACTACAGGATAGTCATTTCGATTTTACGATACCTTTGAAGCACTGTTCAAATTGTACTGATAAAAATTGGTATAAAGAATAAGGTTTTATTTTCTGAATATGCAAGAAAAAGTACTTCAATGGCTTAACTCTGGAAGTTAAAATTATGATCTCTAAAACTATTCAAAAAATGATATATTTATAGTTTTTTATGGAAAAGATAGCATAGTGAAATTTTTAGATTACCAAGTCAAGCATGTGGAAAGTCGACCAAAGTCATTCAATATGTTTTAAATAAATCCCTGCAATTAAATACTTATGACGATTCTAAAAATAGAATAAAATTTTCATAAGTTATATTACAAAAATTAGATTCAAGAAGAAGAGAAACATTCAAAAGAAAAATTCATAAGTATCATTAAAAGTATAATAATATAGATTGAATCAATAACATATAGGCTTCAAAAAGCTAAAGGTAAACAAATTCGATAACGAAACCTAAATACAATATTGTCCAATAGGAGATTGAGTGGCGTATAAACCCCGTAAGTGATAAAAAATAAACAAAGAAACAAAGAGTTTTCTTAAAATATTTTTTTTTTAAAAAAAAAATGAAATTATTTTCATAATGATTTATGAAATATCTATTAAACCCATTTATATTTAATTTATGAATAAATATATAATAAATTCAAGCATTCTTAACATTATCATAGATGCTGACTAATAAATGATTTGTGTATTAAGAGAGAAAGGATTTATACAGTATATATATATATATATAGATATGTTAGTATGTACTGTATATATAGCTTTAAAACAGGAGTATTTGCACTGGGATTTTATTTCGTTTTAATGACTTTATACTTAAAACATTGAAATGACTAATGAGTTTCGCATTCGTTTATTTAGTCAACCTAATAATAAGTGCGTTAAAGTAAAATTGTTAACTTTATTATCCATATGGAATATATAATAAAGTGTTAGAACTATAAATATATAGGCCAATATCATTTTTATTGAATAATTTTAAAAGGAAGAAAAAGTGAAAAAATGTATTAATTAAAGTCTACATTTCAAAGAGAAACCCTTCTCAAAAGAATGTATAATAATCATTGAAAATAATAGGCCAAATATAATTAATTAATAAAAGGCGCTTAGTATACTATGGATTGTTTGGTATTGACGTCAATTCTTATTACCTGGTACATGTATATTTCGAAATTCTATCTTCTTATAAAATAATTTCATTTTAGAATGTTTTAATATTTTTAATCACAAGGGAAAAGTAAAGCGCCATCTTTATTACTTTTTTCTTTCCCTTTGGTTGAATTGGTTGACAGGACAATATTTAGCTATTCTGTTTTTAGTTCTACTTTTAAATTCATTAACTGGTTATTATGATATGTTACTATTTACTTGTTGAAGAGTATTAAATGACAATAATAACCGATAATAATACATATATTCTTTAATAGAGTATTAAATTTCATTTAGTGTTCACTTGAATCAATTTGTTTTATACAACTACATTCATACTTTTGTTAGGCAACAACTTAGAAGATAAAAGAATAAAGTGAAATTTCAACGTTTAACTACAAATATGTCATTAATATTTTATTGTAAAATTTTGTTATTATTTATCTATTGTTTCTCTTCGGCTTCTTCTTGCTGCTATTGTAAGCGATGTATATTTCTACTATAAAAAATATTATTAATAATTTATGAATAAATCAAAGATTGTAAGGGAAGTCAAGAAATATGGATAACTTCAAAACCATCGTGGAAGTTGGTTGTTGAACAAACAGAGGTAGTAGAATTGGCTAAAAAGGTAGATTTAGGTGAAAATGATAAACTTGTTACTGATTTTCGACGTCCCGCCGGCTACTTGACACAAGAAGCTGTACTGGGAGAGATAAAACTTTATAACAGATATTATAATTTAAGGTAGTATGTCTTTTAAAACTATATAACATCAGCAATGAACGTATTAACTATATAATCTTAGCTATGCCGGAATACCAATATATATCCAATATAAGGATTTATCAAAATCATCACAAATTCTTTCGTCTCAATATATTGAAGTTAGTATAATCTCTTTTCCTTTTTTCGTAAATCCCCAATTCGTCTCTGTTGTATTCTTCTCCTCTTTTTTTGTCTTATAAATAGTTAGACTTTGGAATAAACACCGAAGTTTCTGGATTTGCTATTCAAAATGGTTTTTACGAGGAAAAAACTCAACAATTGCTTTTCAAGTTTGTCAATGAAAATCCCATAATTGGACAATTTAATGAATAATTAACCAGTTTTATTTCGTTACTGATAGGACAGAAACTTGGACGAGCCGTTTTATTGCGTCTTACGCCGCTGAAGGTCAATCATTTAGATATGTTACGGAGGAGATATCACTACAGAAACAGGTTCCATTAATTTAAGAGAATTCGTTAAAATCATTATCATCATCGTCGTCGTCATTCTTTTGATAGATATTTGTTGATTCTAAAAATGAAATGAGATCTAAACATAAAATTTATACATTCGATAAAGAAGTTACGGCTAGAAAATTAAGAATTCATCCTATAGACGCCTTTGACCAATACGGACCAACAAATCAACTTATGGTCAGAGTTTCCCCAATATTATGCAACATTCAAGGTATATCATTTGTCGTCCTTTTCACGTTTAATAGAATAATCTTTAAAGACAATACACTATATAATTAAATCTACAAAGGTAAATGCCCGACCGAAAAGATACATTGTCAAATGAGTAAATGGTCTAATTGGGGTTCGTGTCAATGTAATGGTGATTATTGTGTTGAAAATAGAATGAGGGAAATACATAGATACTCTTCTTGCGGTGGACAGGCTTGTGAACACACTAGAGAGAAGAGAACGTGCACAATACCCAGCGGTATTTAATCAATTAATAAATCTTTTTCTTCGATTTCTACAACTTGATTATTCTTTAAAATTCAAACAGATTCTTGGAAACTCTTTCTCGGTATAGGCCTAGGAGTGGGTTGCGGAGTACTTGTTATTGGCATTATTGGCGCACTCGTGTATAAATTGAAATTCGGTAAAAAGAAGACAGTATGGGCAACTAATGAAGGAACAAGGCCTATTGTTGAGGAAAAAAGGAATCAAGATGAATCAATAATATCTCCAGTCATTGATGAATAAGTTATTTTATTCTTCACCTAAAATTTAATAGCCATTCGTTTATTTTCACTTCAAAATAATGACATTAAACTTGATATTAATCCGATCTAATAATTGCATATATATTCGAGGTAAAAACATCACTGGATGTTGAACTCTTTCTCTCCTTCTTTCTTCTCTTTATCCTTAATAAAAAAAAGAGAGAAAAAAATACTACTCCCTTTAATTGAAAAAATGATTCCTGGTATTAGATCTATTGAACTTTCGATGTAAACTGCATTTATCTGCAACGTATATACGTTTTATGCAATAAAGTAATACAATCGAATGCAATAAGGACATTGAAAGGTATGCATATCTGGAACGTATATCTGATAATTGATATAGTTAATGACTTATTTAATTACTGAACCTCCATCTTTATCAATCATTTATGAAACATATTTTAGACCTATACATTTATCATCTTTTATATTCAAAGAGGAAAAATACAAAAAACTAAGAACCATAAATAATCTGATTATCATTTAACGATCCAACATAATTGCAATTCTAGATAATAAAATCTACAATTTTATGATTAATTCAAACAAGTATAATCTTGATATAAGTCACATTTTTTTATAAATAACTTAATAATAATAGTAGTAATAGTTTATTTCTTTTTATATATTTCTTTTATTGCAAGCAGTTCTTTAATTTCGTTTCATTCTACAAAAGTATATTCGATAGAATGAGACTACATAGAACAAAAGATAAAAAAAAGACTAGTAGAGAATATATTGAATTGTTGTTAGCCGCCGGATATTTTCATGGGCTAAAATTAAAAGTTTATCGGTATTCAACAAAGTAATAAGTTGGGCCGACTCAACCGTATGAAATTGGCAAATTGGAAATGTAATTGTGATTCGTGGGAGGCGAGTCATGCTTTGTAATTATTCGAACGTTGATTTTTCACAGTCTATCCTTCTTCCCTTTTTTTATCTAATAAAGTTCTCACTTTATACTCTCTTTTTTGTCTAAATCCAAGCTAATCATTTCTCAAGAAGGAACAAGTTTGTTACGAATTAAGTTAAGGGATACTACTACCTGAAAAAATGATATATATATATATCATATATATATATATAGATTATTTTGACAAACAATATAGACAAAAGAAAATCTAGTTTCAATCCTTTAACACTTTACTTTCAAAGGAAACCTATTCAACTAGGCTTAATCAAAATAATTGATTTTACAATTAAGCATTTTATATTTTTAATCCTGATAGTATTTTTAAAAATCCTTTATTAAATAAAGAAAGATAAGAATTATAACAAAATTGATAGATAGACCTAAGTTTTTTTTTATTTATTATTAAAAAACAAAGAGTATTCAAGACGCTTGAAATTATTTTAATATATTTAATATATACAGTATATATAAAAACTATATTTAGAATAAGTCTTTTTAAAATGATAAATGAAAAAAAAACTCTAAAAGTAACTCTGCAGTAAAGGAAAACAAGTTGAAAATTTTATCTGAATATTGCGTGTTTTTCTTCATTAAGTGAAAACAATTCGTTTTTTAGTTCTGAAACTTGTGTATTATTACAACTATGAGTAGAAAAATACAGTAAAATATAACAGAAAACAATAGTTAACTCATATAAATAAGAGAAAGAAAGAAAATGATTAATAGAGATTTTTTTTTACCTTAAATGAAAGTGAGAAGAAATGTAAATCTCTGCTTAATCTTCTCTTTACTACTTCTATCTATTTTCTCTTGTCAAATATCTTTCTTATCTATACGAGTATTTTTTCTGGTTAACTTTATTCGAAAAATTAAATTAAGTGTAACAGTTTGTTGTTTTTAGTTCGTATTGAACTTAATATAGTTGTACCTATATCTATTAACTGGTGAGGATGAGTTAATTAGTATATATATTCCTCCATTCTTATGCGTACATCTCTTATAAACACTCTTAATTGCCTCTTTAACTAACGGGAAAGAAAAGGGTATGTCTAAAAACGACTGAATTATTCAATATTACATTCACAGCTTATTTTATAATTTATAGAAATAAAGAAATAGGTAAAAAAAGAAATGGATTAACAACCGGAAAACGTTGAAAAACGTCTTTTCCATCGTTAAATGAATTCCTGCTGGCACGCATTAGACAAACTAGTTGTACGTATCCGATTTATTAATTAGTAACTACTAAGTGATGCTGCTGTATAACGCTAGTCAACTAGAGGGTAACCTTCTCCAGCTCTCCTTTTTTATAAGCTATAAATTTAGGGCTTCATTAAAATATACACAATATTATATATTACATAAAAAGATGTTTCCAACACGCAGCCGTTACATTTTAAAAAAGCTAATTGAAACAGAAATTCAACCCTTATCAACTTGGATCGGAAATGATTCTTCCCTTAACATTTTTGTGTAATAGAACATCTAAACCAAAAAAATTCTCTTCTATTGGATGTGCATTTTTTTTAGTAAACAGGCGAGAGAGCTAACTGCAAAGTTTAACAATAAAATACATAATATCGGTATATAATAAATATGCAGACATGTATACTGTATATACAGTATATATATATGTATATGCATACATTGTATATATCAGATTATACATATATAAAAACATGTATATATTCCTATGCACTGATACATATTATACGTTGTACACAAAATATATACTGTAAATACTCGAGAGGTTTCTCTATAACGAAATCATAGAGCGAGTACTTCGATGGGTTTATTTGTTTTCGTCCTTATTCGAATTGTATTCTTTTTTTCTCTCTTTTACCATTTCTAAGAAGGCGGTGCTGAAGGACAAAACTCTTCATCAAAGCTACATTGTAAACGTCGATTGGGGGAACAGTTTAATCTTTTCCTTCTAAAACTGTCTTCTTCGAATAGAGACGAATGCGACCTGATCGATAAACCTGGACTAGAATTGGCTGATGACGGAAAATGAAGCGGCGATCCAGTTAACTGGAATTTTTTGAACGTTTGTTGCATTGCCTTATCGTGAAGAGGAACTAATTTCGCGGCACTCTTTCCATCCTTATTTCTATCGGATGGATTTGCTCTTGATCTTAGTAAAAGTTCAGCTATTTTATGAAAACCATTTTTTGCAGCTAGATGAAGCGGAGTATCCCCGTGAACATTCTTTGCTTGAACTTCGGCACCTTTCTTTAACAAATAGTCCGCTAACAAATCAAAATCCTCTTTCCTCCTCATTCTCTTGTAGTCGTGACGTTGTATGAGGACGCAGTGGAGGGGAGTATTACCAAAGCCATCTTCGACCTTTAAAGATAATTTATATCTTGAATTAAATTTACTGGACAGCTAATCAAAGATTAATGATAAATTATTATTTACAAATACGTACATGAATATCAGCTTGGTATCTTTCAACTAAAAATCGTACTGTTTCAATAAGACCTCTTTCACTGGCTAAATGTATGGCAGCTTTCTCCTCCAAATCACCCCAACATGCCATTTTGATATTCACATCTACAGATCTTGAAAGCATGTCAATAACCGGTATATGACCTTCCTGAGCAGCAATATGTAAAGCGGAAGGACCTCTTTGGAGCAGAGAGAACACCTGAGCGTAGTGTTCCAGTAATATTCTCACTAATTCAACATGACCGTATTTGCAAGCAATTTGCAATGGACTAATGCCATTCGAATCAACTTGATGAACATTTGCTCCTCTACAAAGGAGCATTCTAGTAGCCCCACAATCTGCTTTTAAGACCGCTAAATGCAAAACTGTCTTTCCGTAATGGTCAGGCTCATTTACATGAGCGTTAGCGTCCAATAACAATTCCATATTATCGTAAAGATGATTTTCTACTGCAACGTGTAACGGAGTTCGGAGATGAATTTTTCCCTTTATTACGATTGAAAGTAAATCTCAAGCTCTTTTTTCTTTCATTTATTTAATAAGTAAAATAATTACTCATCATTTTCCTCATCACTTAAGTTAATAAATACTTTTTACCTTAATTGACCCAACCTTGTACCTTGAATTGCCTATTTACCCCCTTTTCTATAGCCTTTTACTTTTCAAACAATTCTTTATCATTTCTCATCATAGCCCTTCCTCTTTTAATCTCCGGATAGAATCTACCACTAATAGATGGCGCTGAATAACTAAAAAAACTATTAACTGCTTGACTAAATTGCCTTAATATTGTTTTTTTTTTACTAAATTATACTTCACAAGAAACATTTTAGATAAAAAAAAAGACTTCTCCTTAAATTAGGCAAATAAAGTGTCTTTTCCAGTCAAGTGAGAAACCTTGGAGATATTTTAAAGAGATTTTTTTAAGAGGAAAAACAAGATTTTACTTATTTACATAAAATCCTTGGATTAATTATCAGCTAGAAGTTCGTGTTAATACAGTATCTCAACATATATTTATATATATATATATATATAAACTTTACTGTCTTTTTATAGATATACTTAAGAAAATTAAACGTCCGTATCAACTATCAATCTAAATTAAATAGTGGAAGAAGGAGGGAAGAGGAACAAGAACTGAAAAGAAAAGAGATAGAAAGAAAAGGGTAAAGGGTAAGGGAATATAAGAGAAAAAAAGCTTAAATTATTTGAAATATTGATCCGTATAGTCGTATACTTTAATTACTTACGATCTAAGCAATCACATTCTGTCGATTTTCTCTTATTTTTCTTTCAAATCTAAATGTTTTTTTTTATTTTTCTTTTTTACATAGAATCTTATCCTTAAGATAAAAAAAAAGGAAAATGGAATCGATTATCTAATAAATTAACTATATAGAAATCCCTTTTTAATGTTGTGGTAAAATAAAAAAAGGCTTAATACTATTAAATTGAATGTTATTGGAATAATAACAAAAAAAAACACACCCTTCCCTAACCCTTCACATTTATTTTCAAGTTCACAGTTATGAAAGTGTACAGTATATACTGTATATATACAGTATATATAAATTTATATATCAAAGTTAGTACTATACCTAGGCCTCTCTGTCAATCGATTATAAAAAAATTATGTACTGGTCATACTTAAATAATAGTAAAGTAAATTAAGTGGAGACATTACTCTAAATTATTTAGGTGGTGTAGCTTGGACATAAATCAGCTTATAACGTTCATTAAAAAGTAAATTGTCTAGTTTTAGTACAAAGAATAATTACTCTTTATTCTTTATATACTAATATATAATCCTGAAATTATCCTAGAAATTTGATTTAATGACCCCATTTTTTAATTTTAATATAACATTAACTATATCTCTACTTTACCAGAGACTCGTTTTTTATGTTACCCCCCAAAAAAGTACTCAAATTAGGTTTCCTATTGTTTCTATTAATCGAAAAGCCTGAGAGGTCATGTATACTGTAAGAGTAAGATAGACTTTTGTATATTATTTAAATGTATTTAGTCTATTTAAACCAATTACTGTCACATTCCAGTTTTTTCCCAAAGCCGATACAATTTTGTTAGGGAATTTTATTGTTTTTTCATCTTTTTTTAGCGTCTGGACCTCTGCTCCCGTTTTGCTTCACGCTAAACTCTTAAATATTCAGACAGCCTATAGCATTATTTAGAAAATCGGTGGCTCCCTGAAGATTTTAATCCTTAACTCCCAACCTCAATCAAATCTTAATTAGACTACTCCATTATCTCTTTTCCCTTAACTATCGATAAATACTGATATCATAAAAAATACAAACGAAATGGTAGATAATTCAAATGTTTCGAGAATCTGCCGCTTAGTATATCAGCTAGACGCATGCATACTGATTGAAGACAATTGAATAGAATGAAAGAGGAGAATGAAACTTAAATAAAAGGAAAACTAAACAGGCCTATTCGTTATCATGGTCTAGCTAGAATGATTCTTCTTATGTCTACAAAGACTTGAGAGTTACTTTAATCAGCTCCTTGCTAACAAAATTAACGCAAGCGCCTGAATCGATAAGGAAGCGAAGAATTTCACTATTTTCGCATTCCGCAGCAGCTAAAACTGCTGTTTCGTAATCGTTCGGCATCCTTTCTTCTCCATCCTTAACACAGAAAAATTGTACCTTGTCTTTCTTTTTTATCTTCTGATCGACAATGTGGCGGACGTCTTCCAGATTAGCATCTTGTATAGCTGCCAATAACTCTTGACCGAGTTTGTTATCCCCTTTTCCCATATTTTCTCCTTTTTTCTCTCGTTTGATTATTTTTATCCGGGTTTAGCCACTACAATTAAAAAAAAAGTACCAATGAGTGAATTTCTTTGTCAACGAAAATGAAATATGTTAAATCCATTTAAAAAAACCGATAATTAATCCTCAACTTTATTTTTGAAATATACAAAATGACGACTTCATAAACCAGTTACACTTATTTTCAATATCCGTTCATCACTCATTCTTAAATGAGAAAGAGAGAGAGAGAGAGGTAGGGAGAGTGGGAGACGGAGAGAGAGAAAGAGAGAGAGAGAGAGAGAGAGAGAGAGAGAGAGAGAGAGAGAGAAAGGGAGGGAAGAATGCAGACAGAAAAAATTAGAGCGAATGAGAAATAGACAAAACATTAGGTTACCTTAACTCTTCAATTACATAATAGTTCAATACATTTGCACTGACGCGACTCCCTGCTACGTGGACAACATTAGTTAAATGTATAACGAAACTGTTCTACAGGTAATAAAAACCTCGTAAAAAGCCATTTTCTTAAAATATTAAACGTTTAGCTTCATAATTATCTCAAATATAAGAAATAAAAGTAAAATTAGCGTAACTTTATTCTACTATCACTCATCCTACTTAATCCCTAAAGACGAAATTGACCAAATTCTTAATGGCCACTATAAAAGAATAGAAAGCTTTAATACTTTCAATACGTCGGAAGAGGTATAAAAAAGAACTAGCCGAAAAAACGGTCGAATCGTATTAGACTTGGATTTAGTCGGTCGTATTAAAAACCGTACGCAATTTGTCACCGTCGACGCCTCTAATAAAAGCGTCGATCAGCGAAAAACGTTTATATAGGATTTTTTTCAATTGTTAGCCTCGTATTCAGGGCATGTTCGGGCGGGGATGAGGGCTAATTAGAGTGAAAATGAGGCGTCGAATCGAGGCGTTTGTCTAGATTATTAAGTTTGTCGAAACGGCGTCGGGAAACGAGCGATCTTATGAATAAATTATTAAAGAGAGACGGCCTCCTGCTTTCTTTTTTAAAAGCTTCTTTCGGGAATATCGAAGTTCTGCTTTTGATGTATTGATTGAATAACTGGAGGTGTTGAGATATATAGACGTCTGCGAACGCCTATTCTCAAAAAAAGAAATATGTAAATAAATTATAATTAACCATATTCATTAAAACAATTACTTGGTAACGAAAAGCCTGTCTCGTCAATTATCAATGCTACAGTAGATATTAAGAGAAAATGATCCAAGGAACTGGACGTTAGGCACAGGCACTTAAGCAAAATTTTAACATAAGTTCCTTATATATTTATTAGACGAAACTGTATATTTTTTAAATACACTCATTAGAAAATAGGTTTTATAAATTATTAACGGTTAAATTAATTGTTAAAATACCACTCGGAAGTGGTATGAATATTAATTAATCATTAAAAAATCAAAATTTTATAGTATTTTAGTACAGTATAAATGATATTATATTTAATATACAGAAAGGACTGGGAAAAAATGCAAGAACTCTTTTGTCTATAATAATGAAGATTTCCAATTCCGTCGATATATAGATATATAAATAAATCTAGTATATCTCTATAAAGTATATACAATACACTAATATATATATATAAGTTTATATATATATATATATATATATACAGGAATATGCAACAATGCGAAATACAGAAAAGTCTTTCTCTCTTCTCTACACTTGTTTTTTAAGGTTTTATTCGCAGAGTACATTTCTTCACTTTTAAAGGGGTAAAAGTTAAAGCAACTATACACTAGGCCTAGCTTTAGTGTGAAATTTGTCGCTTCAGTCTATACATTTTCTCTCATCCTATTTGTCTAGCCTTGGCGCTTTTTTTTTCTCTTTCTCTCTCACTCTCTCTCTCTTTCTCTCTTTCTTTCTTTTACGTAACTTATCGCCAACGTTTAGCCTACTTAAGTCATACTTTCTAAATAATTTATTTAATAATAATTGCCATCGTTTCTCACGAAAGAGTTTGAGAGATTATTATAGTTTTTGTTTAATTAAGGCGTATTATACAGTATAATTTTATTATGTTTTCCTAATGTATTCGATTGGTTAGTAATTTTCATGTTGCATAAAATATTTTTAGTCATTAAAAGTACAAATTAAACGAATGGAACGTGCTTTTGAATACTTAAACTTTATAAATATGTTGAACATTCCTTTTTCTATTATCCACCCACATCACCCACTTCACCTTCCAATCGTACTTCTTTTCTCTTCAATAACTCAATAATTATTCTGAATGAATATATTCCTATTTAATATTCAATGTAATATTTTCATAGGCTCTCATTTAGGAATAATCAAAGTAAAATATAAAGTTCATTACATTTTACTTTCATGTTAACAGCATCATTTTCTTTTACGGATGAATGATTACATATTTACGATCTTTATAAACTAACCAACTCATAGATGGCGTAGTACATAATACAATATCTATTAAATTATTTAAAATATCTCTATGGGATTTGGGATTGAGCCCTAAAATTATTAATCCTTTATTTTTCGAATACTTTCTTTCATTATTGATCAAGTATATTTTTAAAGTTTATAAGTACACTATATAGACATATATTTGTTATACAAACGCGTAAAAAGAGAGAGAGAGAGAGAGAGAGAGGGAGAGAGAAGGATGTTCTTTAATTCATATTAATTTGGTTTGGTACTGTTAAACGTACTTGTTTTAAGAGGGGAAATATTTTTGAAATATATACTGACAGCTAATGTTTTTAATGGTAGCGTTTAATTAGTATATAAGGGTCGATTCTACTATAATCATACAACTTTGATCCGTGACGATGAAATTCTACTGCTTGATAAGATAATAATCGGATGTTTATAGTTAGACGATAGACAAATTACATTGTTTTCATCCTTTATCTAGATTACAATCATATTAATATTCTTTGATAGAAATACTTATATATTAGTACTGTATGTATATATAGATATATATATATAATGTATGAGAATCTTACTAATTTTACCCTCTTTAACAGTATTATACTATTAATAGAGATTTGCATAAACTCTTTAATGATCAACACTTTACACAATTTCTATATTATCCTATTAATTAGTCGATTAATATCTTTGCAGGTGCGAATAAATCTTGTGTTTAGTTAAGATGCAAGCAATATGTAATTTTATACACTACTATTTCAAACACAATGTACATTGGTTATTTGCTAGATCCGTTAATAAAAACATTCGTTTAATTTCCTGTTCATTTATAGAAGAAAGAAGTTTCTACTTTCTTCCTTAGCGGAGAATTCAGCTTTTTCTACTTTTTCTCTTTCTTATTATTAGCACTATCTTTCCAATTGATTAAATACTATTTGTATTTATTTCAACAGAAAAGCAAAGTAAATTTTTTTTACGTCTTATCACGTGATCTATCTCTTTACTCCCCTTTTTTTCTACTGTCTTTCTCTGTCTCTCTGTATTCTTCTCTTAGTCTTTTCATCTTCATTTTTCCATAATTGCGCTGCGGTTTAGAGAGGTATCCAATAATTTTCTTTGTCATTGATAAATAAACGATCTAACACCTTCTCATCGAACTAGATTAGTCCACTTTTTACTTAAAACAAAGTTGAAGCAAAATTATAGAAGGGAAGAAGGAATGTAGCAAGCTTGAGGCTAGTGTAAATATTGTAATCGAGGAGAAAATACCAAAAATTGGATGGATTAAACGGCTAATCTTAGTAGTTTTCTTCTATTCGTTTTCTCCTTCTTTTCTTTTTCTTTTCCTTTCAACCTTAACTTAAATCATCTAACTACCTTATTTTCTTCTCTCTCTCTCTCTGTTTTCTTTTACAAAACAGTCATTGCTTCTACCTCTCTTCCACGTTTAGCTTATGTTTTTCCATTTGTTATAAATAGTTTTGCAAATAATTAAAATTGCAATGTTCTATATAAAAAGACTCTGTATTAAATTCATTATAATCATTATTTTCCCATAGGGAATATAACTAAAATGCTTATGATGTTTCTCATATAATAATAAATTCACAATTTTTAAATGTTACTATTAAATATAAAAGACAATAAAGCTTAGATATCTGAATATAGGGAAGAGATGGTATTAGAAAGAATAAATGACATGGCCATTTTGTCGTTATATGTCTAATATTGACAAAAAGTATAGCAGCAACAGAGACAATATTCTATATATAGTGCATATTTCACAATATAGACTCGATTAATTGGCGCTTTTCCATCAGTAGGTATATGATGTATCTATCTATAATGCTCTTTATATATGAAAACTATGCACATATACTTTTAAAATATACCTATAAATATGAATATTAATGTGTTCATACTTATATATACATATAAATTTATATACATACTGTATATATACTCTATATATATTCTCATTAATTTATTATTAAATAAATTGTACAAATTCTGTTTAAACTACTTTATTTCGTACTTTTCTCCATACATTTACATACGTTTGTACTTACAACGAGAAAATCTCAGCAATTTATCACCAAACATTTTTGCGTCGACGCTACGCCGTCGCTGATAAACGCTAAAGTGCCGGCTTCAAACCGACACTTGGTCATGTGACTTTGTCGATCGGTTTTCTACACTTTTAAATTGGCTATCAAACCTGGTATAATTGATTAGTCGTTATCATTTTCTAATATTCAATATATTGCTTTATTTTGTTATTTGACCCAAAACATTTTTTTTTATTGCCTAGAAAATAGTGAAAAATAAGACGTTTGTAGGCTTAGAGTTTAAAATTATTATTATATGAATAAAAACATTTATAAAGGGGATCTAAGAAAAGAATATATCTTTTCACGATCTAGAGAAAAGTATAATTGGATTATGGATAGTATTAATGAAATTTATATGTCTTTCCCTATTAATTCCTGATATATTTGCATTTTTCTTTTACACAGTTAGTTTGTTGTCTACAGTTTGTCTTTTTTTTAAATTTAACGAATAATAGAATATACAATACGTACTGTATTTTATATCTTAATATATAAATATTTCTCCCTTTACAACCAGAAAAAAATTGAGTTGATTGAATATAATTATATTATGGTTGGGTAATTTTATGAAATAACTAGTATTAGAGCCTAGAGACTTATTTTTTTATATATAATTACAACAAAAGATTTAGATTTGACCGTTATTTTTTTTATATATTATACACTCTACATTATTTCATATTTTATTCATAAATAATAATTCTCCTTTTTACTATTTTTATACCTTGTTTTTAACTC